ATTCCGCGGCTCGACAAAGGGACACCTGGCGCACACGCACACTCGCTCACCCTCACCCACACTCACACGCACCCTCACCCGCATTCGGAAGATATTGATTAGCATTCCTTGAAATTTCCTATCTTTTTGAAGAATATTCTGTCTTAATGAATTTCACGCTATATGGTCGGCTTGCATCTCTTAGAAAGAATAAAATAGGAGTGGGCATTTTGAAACAGCGCAATGGATGGAGGTATGTTGTTTCGGATTTTGCCCATAATCCGTAGGTATGTAAAACAATTGATTATAGAACTCTGCTGTGATAGCGAAGAGAGCCGTAAGTGCATAAATGAACTTCTGAGAAAACGGGCTCATAGAAGCCTCTTAGTGGAACATTTTATTGAAAGAAGCCTCCGTTTTTTGTCTAATTGCCACTATTCGTCCGGAAGACTCCCAGAAATCATTTGGGGGATTAAAACTCGACCGATTATATTTTAAAGTACATGAACAAGGTAAAATTCAGTTTCGTGTTAGTTTATTGTCAGGCAAGACAGCCGTAAGTGCTATCTACAACATGCTTTCATAGTTGCGTTTTGGACGCATAACAAACACATTTTCAGGTTAGAAGTTAGCAGAAGAGGGCGGCACTTTACTGGAGAGCACTGTTTTCATTGGCTCTCATGCACCTGCGGCTGTCTTGAGAAAAACTTGCACTTACGGCTTTATACGTCTCGTTTTCATTAAATTAGGATGAGTTTTGTTGTTTTAGCTGTCTCAGTAATTTCATCTAAAAGAGTTAAGACGAATTTTGAAGAAAACTCGATTTCGAAAATCTTGCACTTACGGCTCACTTCGCTATCACGGCAGAGCTGGTAAGCCTGTGTCACACCATAAAAATACTCCATCAAAATGTCAAGGCCAAGTGCTTTGATTGGTCCAAGTCATCGAATAAGCAAATCACAACACCTGACGACCATGATAATTTGACGGCTAGCTTTGATAGTATGACACAGGGAAATGGATTTAAATGGAGGGAAAGCGGTGTTGCCAACTTTGACTAACCTCGGGCATGGGCCCTCCGATGCTCCAGGATCCCCACACTGGAAGGCACCGTAAAGCGAGATTTAGCCCCAGAACCGATCCCAAATTGAAAACGCGGCGACAGGCAGCTACGAACTGCTCGATGGTCGCGACAACGTTGTGCGGGAGGTAGCCGTGGTTGGCCATAGCGTTAAGCGCAGGGCAGGGACCTCTCGCATCTTCAGGCCCTGGTGCTCTGAACGCGTGCTCCCCGGAGATGTCGACTTTTTGTGTTTCCGGGTTGAAAGTGGGTGGAGTGTTGGTCGTCTCACGCCTTTGCCGAGGGTATCCTGCAGGGTCCAGCGATGGGACAGCAGCGAGTCGACCGGCCATGACCGGCAACAGCACGACCATGGGGATGAGCATTCTTGAAACGACTGCAATGAGATCAAAACACATCATTGGAGGGCGGAAAGCCGTGCCTACTCTTAGGCCTTGTATCCACGGGACGTTTCTTGGGATTTGTCCCAGGGAAAAATCTCACTTTCAAAGTCGGGAAAAATATTCAGTCAGCCAATATTTAGCCCAAGACCGAGTGTGGTCCTTGTGGAGTCTTAAAAACGACTCAGGAAGAAGAAGAAATTTTGTTGTTTCGTCCAACGGGGAAAAAGCCCAGAAGTTACATTCCTGCGATTCGAACTTGAGACAGATCTCATGAAACGTCCCGTGGAGACACGGCTATAGCGATGGTCCAAGTGCGAAACCAAACCAAGTAGGTATATCCCCGTTTGCAGCCCTGTAGACTCTCTGTCACACTTTATTTTTCCTCCCTAAATATTTGTAAAACCTTTTCCAAGCGACATTAAGCTCAATGAGCCGCAGTTGTGCCGACAGAAACTGCAAAAATTAATAAAAGAGGGGAAAAACCCAAGAAGCACGCAATCTTTAGTTTTAATCCATTTGCACATGGATCTTTTAGAGTCAAATACGTCAAATTTTGAGCGTTTCGTTAAGCGTGCACCTCGCTGCATCACTATAAAAGCACAAAATGTAAAAGAAAAAATTAAAGTGCTTTAGAAATCATTATAAATTTGACACAGAACCACCTGTATTTAAAAAACACACATTATATTATTATTCTCCTTTGATAAATTGATACATATTTTTTTTACCATCAATTTAAATGAGAATAATCAATGCAGAGTGTGCTAACATTTCAAAATCATGAGTTAAAAAACGCTGACTATGCGAGTATAAATATGAAAGCCTAACAGAGCGGAGCGGCGTGCTGCCAGCGCGAGAGGCTCACTGGCGCCTACGAACCTAAGTGGATACTCCACGCATTTCACAATGCTGGAAGTATCCACTTAGGTTTGTAGGCGCCAATGCGCGTTTCGTGCTGGCCGCCCGCCCGCCGTGCCGCGGCGCCTGAAGCAACTATTTCACAACGAGGTGTTGCACAATATTATACGAAATTGGACGTATAAGGAATGACAGGTATCTTTCAAAAGAACAGACCTTTCCTCGCAAAATAAATCAAGATACTTATCGTACACAAGAAAAATCTAAGAGCCTTTAGCTGAGGCAAATATAGAGGTTTACCCGGTTCAGGTATAACAAGGTGAGAATTTCTTGAAAGATAATTAAGTCCTGTTACACCAAAGAGGTGTAGAGAGTTTTAGTGAATTTTGTCTCATCGAATTGACGCTGCCCCATTTTTACCAAAACTCTTAACTATATATTATTCTCCGTTGGACCAAATAGACAAAACAAGATAACAAGCAAACCCTCATTCTTCCAAGACACCACATATTTTCATCCAAAAACGTCGGTCTCAACTGGCACGTGGACCAAAACTCCCGTGCCGAAAAAACGCGTGGACGTAAATTACTGGAAAAAACAGGTGCGCGGACAAAAAATCGTTGACGAAATGTCCTATAACCGGCGCACCGGATCAAATGAAGGGGCCAAAACTAGGTACGCATTTCTACACCTAAGCCCGAGATACGCGAAAAAAGTTTTACAATTTTAGGTGACTTCCCGATATTTTCGATTGCATCTCTTGCTGGCAGATAGACGACATCTTCAACAACACGTTTATGCAGCTAACTCAAAACTGTCAAAAATCGAGGTACGCACTTCTGCCCTTTCACCCTCGATATGGGTATATAAAAGCAGAAATTAATACTAAAATAACGGTGAATCAGAAGTTCAAAATGCGAATTTTTTTTTTAGAATATAGGTCTCCTTTTAGGAATGACGAGTATCTGGTGGAGAAAAACATGAAATCATCAACGACAATAGGAGATGCTTCAGGAGTCGCCTTCAATTTTCTGCCGCGCCAAAAGTCGTACACGCATAGCGTGTGTATTTTTGAGCAGCGTCTGTTTCGCGCTGTGTTTACGATTAGGAACCTTACTTATCGAAGGACTTGCCACTTGTCAAGTATTGATATATTTATTTGCTCGTTTTTTTATTGATTTAATTCTTAATCAAATATTCTCAGAAGACTCATTTATGTATAACATACAATTAGTTACATTTATGTCACATGAGGAATTAATTTCATGTGAATTAATTGACATTCTCTCAACTATTTTATAAAGTAACATTCACCAGACCTAATATTCTATGCAGCAGCTTGTTCAAACCACAAAACTATCTAACTATATACCTATAGTCACTAATATTGACAAGGCTTAAACACAAGATTCGTACTAAGAAAACACCAGCAGACGACTAGTACTATTGCAGTCTTCCCCACTCATTTTCCATTATTATTTCTTTCCTTTTCCTAAATTTATTCCTTTTTACCCCCTCTGTCTTACTTCTTTATTGAGTTTTTTTTGACACCGCGAGGAAAATTCGGTTTTTGTGACATAAGTATTGTAGTCTGAAGGTAAAATTATCAATTGTTCTTTACAAGGATGAGGAAAACTCGGATATGTCACCATACAATTGCTTTTTTAAATACTCATTTCATGGCTCGAATATACCTACTCCGGGATTAAGTTTGTCGGCCTCATATACTTTCCGTATTGTGCCAGGAATGACGAGTGTTTGCAACACAATAACTTGGTATATTATAGTCACTGCTTCTCTCAGCCCTACATATATGTAGGTAACCGAACCTAGCTGAGAAGCAGCTGCCTTCAAAAAATTCATGGGTTGGCCGGTCCCTCAGAAATAACAGTTGCCGTGGTACAAACCTGCCAGGGCCGGATTTAGCCTCCCCCCCCCCCCCCCAAATCCGGTACTGATGACCGGATCCTCGCTGTGCAGCCCGGCCGCCGCGCTGCGCCTTTACTTAATTTGGAACGTGTCAGGTTTTCTAATGGAACGACCGAAAAAAGTGATGATTTTCGTCGTAAAAAACGCATTTGATTTTCCATAATAGCATAGTCACTCAATGAACGATTGGAATTCTCTCAAAGAAAAGTCTTGCACAAAAAAAAGGAGGGGGGGGGGGTTTAGGCTGATCCAAATATAAGTGCTCGCGGGAGCAGAACCTTTGCGTACGGAGGCTCCGTAATCAGCTAAGCTAATTTCCTTTCGAGAGGTGAAAAGATAGAATCCTCATCTCGACGAAAAATGCTCTCTACAGTAGAATACATTTAATAAGAATGGATTCGCCGGTTTTAGTTCATTTCCGTGCTGTAAGTGCGAGCAATAGAAATTGCGAAATTTCTCTGATATTACTAATATTTTTTCTACGCATGATCTGATCATGATTCACGGCCTAGGCCTTTACCATTGCTTTACCATTATTTGCTCATTCGATCTGGCAACGCTCACTGTAAAATACTACGCATAGTACTACGAGACTACGACGATGACGAATTAGCTTATCTCTTTGGTCCATTTCGATTGTGAACGGGAACGGTTCATTCATGAATTGCACAGTATAGCGCATGCGTAGCATACGACCAATACAATCAGAGACAAACATCCCCCTCCCCTCCATCATACCGCATCGTACCCTCCTCACCCACCCCCACTCCTGCCTTCCTTGATCACCCGACCAGGTTAGGTTAGGTTACGCCACGATTCTCCTGTCCTATTCCTAGGCACTTAAATTAACTAATTTTTAATTATGGCTCTCAATGTGTCAGTGAAAGTTCATCCAGTGGTTTTATTTCAAATTGTTGACGCTTACGAAAGGCGGAATGTCGACGCCAACCGTGTCATTGGAACTTTACTCGGTAAGCACCAAGCGGTCAGACTCTTAATCCTAACCTCTACATCACATATTGAACATGCGGCTTTTATTCTGCTGTACAATTAACTTTATCCCTTCTCCTGGCGTCATTCCTACTTCAAAATAAATCTAAATTTTATTGCATAAGTTTCACTGCACTGAAGAAGAATTTTGCTCGAGCCTGTCTTCATTCAGACCTGAACTTCGTTCGTTGGCCGACATCAGTCTTGTGATTCTTCGACTCAATTGGCTTAAAAATTTGAATTATAGGCAGATTTCATAATAATGAGTTCGAGTGTATGTGTCCCAATTCAAATTGACTAGGTTTTGCATTTCTCAATTTACTGTAGAATTATCATAATCTACCCCTTGGAATTCGGAGTATTAGAGGTGTCGTCAGCTAAGTTGGCCCTTGTTTACATTCCATCTGCGAGCAACTGCTATGCGGTCGTCCAGTAGGGATCGAAGATTGAATATGCTTTTGATTGGGCAGTGGTTAATCCATGTTTGCTACTGAACAATAGTTCTGTGAATTTGAATGTAAACAAGTGCCAACTTAGCACGCAAAACTTCTAAGGATTTACTTTTATTCTTCCTCAGTTTTTAACTCTCCCCATTACATGCAAGCCGCTGATAGTGATTTTCAATGTGTTAAACTAGTGAAGTTGTCAGCTATTAAATTTTTCCTTGTGTATGGTTGTGCTATCCTTAGCATTATCTGTCATTGGTAACACAATGGATTGTTGATTCAAATGAATGAGCATTGAGTTCCTCATCTCTTTTTACAGGTATTGTGGACAAAGGTGTTGTTGAAGTAACCAATTCTTTCTGTTTACCCCATATAGAAGACTCAGAGAAAGTAAGTATCAAGTTTGTCAAGCAACGTGTCCTTGGATAAACTTTTCACCTTATTTCCCACTAAATTTTTTAAGTTTAGCGAGTCACTCAGATTTTGTGCAAACTTTGAAAATGCCTTTACTTGTCCTTACGAGGTATTTATTTTTGAATTTTTTTATTCCGTTTTGAAGTGCAGTGGTAATCCTGTATACCTAGGCTAGTTTAGTGACTAATTTAGACTGATTTAGTGGCTATTTAATTCTTGCTATTTCTGACATATCGATTTGCGATAACTGCTATATATTGTATAATTGATTTCCAACGGTTCAAACTAAAGAGAAAATAACAGCCTGTATTGAATTGCAAAAGTGAATCACCACCTGATGTGGACCTTTGGAACGTAGCATACATCTATTGAAGCACCAAATTCTCTGGAAGCGAGCTGTAAACATACTTTTTCCCAAAAATCAGCTAAATTCAAGAAAAATATATGATTTTGCTTCATAACGTTATTTTCTATAAGAAAGGAAAAAGAGATTGTCGGGTATCGAAATGGCCGGAAAAAAAACGATGGAAGATCAGCGATGGTCATGCACCTCTGCTATTTGCTGCGGGCTCTTATTTTCTCTCTGATCCAAATCAAAACCAATTACTTAATATAACAAAATCAAAACATAACCTCATGTCCAAATTCTGTGCAAGCAAATTGTGTTAATTCATTTAAATTTTGCATTCACAAGTCATAAAATTTATGACTGATTCAACTTGAGAAATTTTGATTGCAAGAAATACGTAGATGCATTTGACCACCATGATTGGACAAGGGTACGTGTCTGTTTACATTGGAATCATTAAAGCTGCAATATAAAACTCTGATGCAGCTACTAAATAGGTCAATACAATCATGGAGTGAACTTAAATGAAATATTGATGAAACTTGACATCTATTTAATTTAATTCTGTTTAACATCTATAAAATCTTATCCATAAAATTTTATATCAAGTTATTTCCCTTTGGAAAGATCAATCAAATCAAGAAAATACTTATATACCTACTGTGAAATGAGTAAAATGTGTGTTGCTGCAAAATCATAGTTTTTGCATGAAGTATGATGAATATCTACTAATGAAAATGAAAATGGTCACTCTGTCCAATAATACAGATTATTCTTTAATCCGTACTATACTAAGGAGGTATGAGAAGTTTTTTTTTCACCCTTTATAGCTTCAACTAGAGTCCAAAACTCAATTTTTTTTCTTTTCATTTCAGGTCTTAGCCGAGTTAAGATATGCCGCAGACATGCTTAGTATGCTCACAAAAATCAACAAGGTTTGTTCAACACTTTTTCTGTTTAACTGTGGAATGAATGAGTGAATTTTTAATTACTTTAGGTACCCATGTACGTCTGTAAAATCTTTCAGGGCTTGCGCAAGCGTAAAATTCATTTTTGTTAAATATTTGATCGGAGAGTCAAAAGCAAAAGCTTTATTTCATTATTTATTCATTAATGTATCTAATGTCGGACAGAGATTTGTACCATAATGATGCAAGAAGTTTTAATGCGGTGTCAAATTTGCTGCATTTTATTGATGAACCGGTTTTACAGTGTGTAAATTTAAGGCGGTAATATTCTTATAATTTATTCGATTTAGATGGGGAGGGGGGGGGGAAGAAGCTGTGTAGAGTACAGTTGTTGACTCAGACTCTCATACATAAAGGATTTTTTCTCAAGCCTTCCCTTGTAAACACATGCAGAATACGCAAGAGAGATGGAAGCGTCTCTTACCATGCTTCATTTTCAACCACCTTTTCTGTGACAGCACAAGTTACTCTCATCAGAATATCAAGTATAGATTTTGAATTAATGAAATTCCCAAAAATGTTGCATGAAATTGAAAAGAATTATTCGCTTAATTTGTCCGTCTCCTGGCAGTATTCTTGAAATGAACCCGAATTTACTTAAACGTACCGAAACACAGTCGATATTTTTCTTTGCCAGAATCGTATGTATTTTTACTGTAATTTTTTAATTTTTGTAAATTTTTAATTGTATTTAAGTCCTGATAAATTTTTTTGTTTTGTTTTTCTGTCAATAGTTAAAATTGACCAAAATAATATTTTTTGTTTTTTTTTTTTCAATTGAATAGCAAGAAAAAATAGTCGGCTGGTGGGCAACAGGACATGAGGTGACAATCCACTCAAATATCATCCACGAATATTACTCTCTGGAATGCCAAGATCCGGTTCATTTAACCTTAGACACAACGCTTCAGGATGGACACATGGGAATGAAAGCTTACATGAAGTGAGTCCTAACTATGTATTGCAAAATTTAGCTAAAAATTTTGCCAAATTTTTTTTCAGTAAAACAGGGTAAAGGAAAGAATGGACAAATATCACATCAATGTGAAGTGCATCTGTTGCAGGCAAATAGTCAAATCAGGCATTTTATCAAATGCCTGGGCACATTGTCACATTTTCAGAGTTTTCAAGATATTTTATGTTTTCTCGAAGACCTCCTAAATTTTCAATATTTTGAGAGTAAAAATCCATCAAAGTACAAACTGGTTTGTATTTTTTGTTGAAAAATGCTCCTCATCTTTCCTCAACTATCAAAATTGTGAAAGCTCGTTATTTTATATAAATGTTGCATATTTTGTGATAAATGTGCTTTTAAGGACAAAAGAAAATGCATCTAACATTGTATGAAGCAAATTCCTACCGAGAATTCTTTCTCACATGATCGGCAAATTAATGTGTCCACAGTTACTTAGCACAATAATCAGAATTTTACTAAGTAAAGGATATTTGACTATTTGCCTAGACATTTGATAAAATTCCTGTTTTGACTATTAGTGGGCCCATCGGTCAGAACATACTTACATTTCTGTTGAGTGGTTCCTTTTTCAATATGTTATGTTTGTCCATTCCTTTTTTCTCCAACTTTTCATTAGAAAATTATATTTCCTTAAAAATTTCGATAATCCCAGAAAACACATGAAAAGTGCAGTGGGAGAATTTTTAAAGATAAATGGGGGTCTCTCATAAAAACCTCATCACCCAAACATTCAAAAGTGAAATAAGTCTGATTTAGTGGCCACATCATAGTTTTATATCACAGTTTCGATGGTTCAAATGTAAAAAGGCACATAACCTTGTTGTATTTGTGCCATGGTGGTGAATTGCATCCAGGTGTTTCATGCAATCAAAATTTCCATGAATCATTCAACTTGCACAGAATTTTGTCAGGTTTAGTTTGTTTGTCATGGTTTGATCCATCGCAAATTAATCATGCAATACTTCTCAATTAGCACAAATTGATATGCTGAATATTGCAAGAAAAACGCAATTTGTAACGTGTTTCTAACACATCAGAGGAAAATGAATAGTAGCCGAAGTGTCTTTTTTGAAATCCTCCGTCACAATGTTGGCTAGCGCAGAAGAGACATTGCCACTCATTGCAAGACCATTAACTTGATGGTAAAATGCAGTGCCAAATTTAAACACAGTTGACTTAATACTCACCTCCAACGCATGTGAAAATTGTTCTTCTGAAATTGAGTAATGTTCTTTAATTTTATTCCATCGTTGATGAACACACTGTATAGCCAGGTCAGAGGAAATGTTAGACTCATGGTAGACTCAATATCCAGAGAGATGAGCCTATAATTTTCAGGCACTACCAAACCGTTAAAACAGTCTATTTGCACCCCTGTTCAAAGGAGTGGATTAAAACATTTCGGCTCAACAAATGCTCCAAAATGTAGAACTGAATTTTCATTTTGATAGTTTGAAGTCAGCAGTTCAAAATTGCTGTTTTAAGATGAAATGAGAAACTTCATGGAATGACAACATTTCCTCTTCTCTCTTGCTCACTTATATTTTAATTTTCTTTCTTTATCGGCAATCAAGTTTCTTCATTACAAATTGTAACTCTCTCTTTCCCCTAGTGTACCTGTTGGCGTTCCCAAGAGGAAAGTTGGTTCTATGTTCACTCGCATTCCAGTTGAGGTTACATGCTATCAGCCGGAAATCGTTGGAAGTAAGAATTATTACTGGCACACTTATCCATGTACATCTCATAGGTGGTGTTAAACCCCCCCAGATTCAGGATGTTTTAAAAGATTTCTCTGTGATTGGAGTCAGCTTGTATTTTACATTGAAAGAACTAGCATGATGGAATATCATTGAAATGAACTATTATTTCTGACTAACGACGTTTGTGTCATTAGTTTTCATAGTCAGGGTTGTCACAGTCAGGGAGTGCCGGGAAGTGTCAGGGAATTTTAGAAAGTTCAGGAAAACCTGGAAATGTCAGGGAAAAGGCGTCAAATCACCCTAACCACCTTGCCCTCTCGAGTCCGTAGTTTATCTAACGACGTTTCTAAATTCTAACTACAAATTTGGCCTGAAAACTGTTTCTAAGTATGTCTTTTTAACAATCTGGAATTTGTTCAATTGTCAGGGAATTTCACCAAAATGCGTCAGAGACTTTAATTTTCCCAATTCTGCAGCAACCCTGCCTAGTGCCTATGTTGTTGAGTTAGAAATGGTAGCTCCCAGTGCAAAATTTAGTTCAAACATAGTCAAAGAAATAACTAAAAGCAAAGTCTACTCCTCCAGATCTTCAACTTTTGTGTCTAGAATTTTTAACGTGTTTCATTCTCTGGTATTTTCCTTCCCTTTGGTGAAAAACCATTGATGGTTATATAGACAAGTCAGGGTCTCTTATTATTTTCCTTCAGATTTCTTCCTGGACAAATTTTATTATTCCCTGAAGTGAGGTGAAAATGTTTTTACAATATTCCCTTTTATCTAAATCTCCAATTCAGAATCAACTTTGACTTCCAAATTAAAGAAAAAATATGATCTCAGACCAAGAACAGATGTAAATTATAGTTTTTAACACCAATAACCTGTCTATTTCCCAGATTTTCTAAGATATCATTTGTCCCCAAGTGAATTCCAGTAATTCCTGGGTTTTTTTTTTTTTTTTAAATATCCTAGACACCATGTCTTCTACAGAGTCGGCATTGCCACACCATTCTGATTCTTTCTTCTTTCGGAGCATTTGATTCAGAAATTAGAAGAAAAAGAATTCTAAGAAAAAAATTAGTACAATATCAGGAGTTAAGCTATCCTGTCAAGTTTTTAACTGCCTAGTGATTAGAAAGAGATATTTACTAACCTGCTCCCTGAAGTCTTGAAACATTAATATTATAATATTGAAGTGGTAACTCAGTTCACAAGAAAAATTGTTAGTTTTTTTGTACATTAAGTTTTTGGATGTTGAAAGAAGCTTATCAAGTTCATTTTATCTAAACTGTACAATATTTCATTTCAGTTAGGTTGAGCCAAAAAACTGCATCATCGTTCAAACGCAGTCCAGAACTAACCATCGAACCAGCATCTGATCTAGGTCAAGTTGGTGAAGCTTGTAGTAAAATGAATAAACTCATTGATAAAATTCTAGCCTACGTTGAGGACGTCTTGACTGAAAAAGTCCCTGCGAACGACACAGTAGGTCGCGCCCTCCTCAATATGGTTCACAGTGTCCCTCAAATGACTCCTGAACAATTTGAAGATATGTTCAACTCCAGTATAAAGGTTTGTCATCAACAATACTTATTTTTTTTTAATGTCTGAAAGTATATGCCGTTTGTACTGTTATTCTTTATCTCTGATCACAGAGAGGAATCTTTGCTTGTGTCCTTGCAATGGACCACTAGACAAGGTATGAATTTCAGCATTCTGATAACGGTTTCTTAACCAAAATTTCACGTAGAACACGATGCGCAAAACAAAAACTACCGAAATCAATTCCTTACGAAGAAATTAAATGATTCTTGATGCGTGAATTCAAACCACCCGCTCATGAAAACTCAATGCTGTACGTGATTCACATCGCGCGCTAAACGTCATCATGACAGTCTCTGCGATATACAAATCTGGCAACCTCAATCTTGACGCTTTGGCTCAGTTATAGCAAATTGCTTATAGTTTGAACAACACATGGTGGGAAATGAACGTCTGCTCGATTGAGAGGCTCGCTGAAACCGTTGTGGTGCGCGATTTGACTCACGTAGAGCTTTGAGTTTCTTGTGAGCGGGCCTTTCAAATTCCTCATAACCAATGTGAAATAAAAACGTTAATATCTTCCTTAGGAGTTGATTTCAGTAATTTTCGTTGCGCAAATCGTGTTTTGCGTGAAATTCTGGTTAGGAAACATGTATTAGAATGCTTAAATTCGTACCTTGTCTGGTGGTCCATTGAAATACCAAGCAGTGCCAAGTTTAATGCAACTGTTCTATTCAGAGCTCAGCCCAAGGGCCGTTCTCATGACAACCTGTCAAGACATGTCTTGAACAGAAAGGCACCTTACTGTTGTACTGTACGTAAATACTCATTGTCAGTACCTTCATTTAGAGACGACGAATTTAAGGAAAACATTCAATTCCTCCTAATCAATTCGACGTTTTCCGAAAAGTCGGTACAATGTAATCTTCAGCCTCTAAAACTCATTTCCCCCAAAATTGATTTCTTCTATTTTTGAGACATCATGGATAGAAAATCTCCAAGATTACGTCACTGTTATCGATGAGTCTGAAATTCTAACCAAAATGTCACCAAAAATTGTTCGATTCCAATTGTTTCTAAAAAAAAAATCGGGGGTGCAGAAACGTCTTCACCATGCAAACTAGTACATTGTGATTGGTAGGAAGGGAAAATGGGTTTAGAAAAAGGGAAGTCCATTGAGCACAAGCATTCAAATTGCAAATTCGTGTCGAGCTTGGGCAGAAAATTGCAGACTTTTTTGTTTTGTTGAAAAGTTTTAGTAAAAATTGCATGTATTAATGTCTCAAAATAAATTATTTGAAATCACTAGCCCTACTCTCATGTCCATGAAAGTAAGTCCACGCTAGAATAACTGGCTTTGGTGATTCCCGCTGAGTTCATAGACAAGGAAACAGCTTTTTTGTTGTATAACAGCTTTTTATTCATCTCTTAAAATTTCGAAGAGAGCCTTCCCATTACCAAGTATAAAACAATTTATACAATTAGTAAATCAGGCAGAACATCAAACATTTTAAATGGCAGAAATTAGAACGGAGTATTGTAAAGATTTTGCTGAGGTTTAGATCTACCAAATATTTGAAGAGCAGCCCCAGTGAACCTTTCATATTGGGCACAATTTCATTGGAGAAACTGTCTGTAGACTGGCAGCGTCAATGCTCAATCTATGCATCTAAATGTAACAATGAAGTATGGTATTATTCTGTGGTTACTTTAATTAACTTTCTTTATCTAATTTTTCTCATTGGTGTGTTTCAGGATCTACTAATGGTTATAACTCTCGCCCAACTTACTCGAACACAACTCCAGCTCAACGAAAAACTAACACTCTTGTCTGCATTGAATTAATTTTAAGGCTAAATCTTTATCCTCCAACCAAATCTCCAATAAAAATATTTTCTACAGATGAGTTGATCGGAGAAGTATCTTTTTCACCTCAAGCTTATGATCCCTTGAAGGAACCTCCATGATTCTTAAGATAACACAATCAAGATGGCATAGAACTTAACATGTATTTTGAAAAAGCATAATCTATATGCTGAATGGATGAACACTCGTCACAGTTGTAATCAAAAGTTGGAACTGCGCCAAAGTTCTACAGGCCACTGTATTTGGTTGAATTGCTCATTTGCCTGGGAAACAAAACTGGGGTAGCAAGAAACTGTCGAAATGATCAGCAGCTGAGTTTCAGACCCTACATGCCCTCTCAATACACAGTCCACCTTAGTTTCTTTCTCTCTAGCTATCTTTCCCTTATACGTTTCACCCATCATAATCGTTTAACTGGTTGCGTCCTATTTGCCTTTTCTTCTGCTTGAGTTAGATAGGGAGGAGTGGTCGGTATGAGGAGAGAGGTTGGATTTTTCTATGCTCTATCTGGCTCGATTTTTAGTATAGATTTTAAGAGGGCCCTTTTTGACGCACTGGCTTTGCTCTAGGCTGATGATAAAAACTCAAATTGCGAATGGTGGAACGTAGAACATCGGCACAATTATGATATTTAATCAGGATCATTCCAAGAAAACTAGAGATTGGTTTAAGCACAAAATTGCGTAAATTGTGCGAATTTTATCAAAGGAGGGGTCAATAAGGGCCGTTTTTGGGCGCACTCTGAATTTCTCAACTCTACAAATATTTGCTTATTGAAGGTCTTATTATTGCAATAAAATGCAAAAAAAAATACCAAGATTTTTCTTTTTCTAATCATTCTAGCATACAGTGCTGCTCTACCAAAAATGTTTGAGTATCGTGATTTAGTCGTTGTTGGTCTTTTTTGAGTCTAATACTGGCCTCAACATTATTGGTGGATCTAGCAAATTGGCAACATTGTCTTTTCTCCATTTAAATCTACGGAAATGTATCAATCCTTGGAGGGGCCAGGTGCTCCAACAAGAATCGATTATTCAACATAAGTTTAAATGGAGGAAATCCGTTGTTGCCAAATTGCTGGATCCGCCTCTGAATAACATAGGTCTTAATTTAAAGTGATTTTGGCGAAGAAAGCAAATATTGTGATCAAACTCGGCCTTGAGACACTTGTTTGGGCCAGTATTAGATTATAAAAGAGTTTAAAAACGAGGAAATTATGGCAAATAATATACCGGTTAATGTAGACCTTCAATGAGCCAGAAATCGTGAGAGTTGAGAAAATTTAGCTTCAGCTGGGTTAAGCCCAACAACGGCTCCAATCAATACCCCTCCTATAGCAGAAGGATTGTTCTCCCCAGATAATTATCAGCAAACCTATTCAGTAGGATTTGATTCATCATTTCGGAATTTATTCTGTCTTCCTATTTGTTCCAATGCTAATTTGATGATAACTAGCAAAGGAATTAAAATCAGTGAGTTCGAAAACACCAACTCAGGTTTTTTTCGATTTTCACTTTTTTACGGTTTAGTAACACTTATGGATAGAAGCATCTGCACGCAAAAGGAAATTTCGAAATTGCAATCGGAAGTGCTCAAAACAGCGACAGAAAAAGGGAAGAATCGAAGTATTTCATTGGAAATACCAATTTTTGGCCATTTCAAGGGAAACGGGTGACCATCCGATTTTACGGTTTTCTTTTTTCGGTTCAATATATCTTGTACCAACAAATTATATAAATATTCAAGCGTTATTTAGGTTGAACATATAAATTTTTCAGGGCAGACAATGCAAAATTAGTGTCTGAATGTCAGTGAGAATGAAAACACACCAACTCGGAAATTTTTAAACGCTTAATTCTCTGTCATCAAACATGGTGTACATATCGATTTCAACTTGGTGCTTTATAAAGTCTCTAAGTACTTGTCCTTTGGCACCAAAAAGGTTTTTCTTAAACTAACTTCTTCGCCCGCTGCGCAGTTTTAGGTGTTTCCTGAACAATTTTTTTTTTCCCCGAGGTTGGTGTGTTTTCAAACTCACTGATTCAATTGAAAGAAGTATCACCAATGTCCTTCGGAGGCAAAAAGACAGAGACAGACAAATCAACAGTGATCAATAATCGATATAAAAATTTATTATGGTTCTAACTTTGTCAAGAAGTATCCATAGAGAAAACATTGGCATAAAGTCTTAAAGATATAAACAGATCACCTGCACTACTTGCGACTAACTGTGTATTGCCCTTTCGAGAATGAGCATGGTATACAGGGCGATCCAAAGTCTCACGCCCCATCCCTATGACCCCTAGGGTTTTTGCTCCTTTTCAGGGTGATTCCCTCAGAATTTTAGGTAATTCTTTTTGATCTAGGACCTCTCACAAAATTTCAAGTCCCTATCTCAATTAGTTCAAAAGTTACAAGGGTGATGCCTGGTGCTAGTGGTGCGGGACTTTAAGGTCACTCTGTATTTGCACAAAAAAAATGGGCAATCATCAATAGAAAGGAGAGGTATCGATAAGGGCCTTTTTAGGACCCCCCTATTTTGGCCCCCCTAGAATCTGGAAATTTATGCGGGTTTTCCAAGTTGACTCAATGTAATTTACGGAAATAATCATGATTGGGTCCAAAGGCCACTGGATACATGTTAAATGGTTGCCTGAACATAGGTCTGCAGGCGCATTTTAGCGGAAAGTGTGTGTTTTTCTATCACTCCGAGGCTTTTTTGACACCGAGCACATCGTCTAACTAAAACGAGCTTTTGATTTGTTATCAGGGAGGCTTTAGGACACATTTTAATCCTAATTTGGCTTTAGTTAGATGATAAGCTCATAGTTAAAGAAAACTTTTTCAGAAATCGACTTTTAAGGGACATCCACAAAAATCTTAGGAAAACTTGTCGTTACGGTTTTTTTGCCACAATTGAAGAAAATCTCCTTGTAAGAGTCTAACAAGGCTTGGAGAGTTGCACCTCCTGTAGGAATTTCTGCTAAGTTCCTCCAAAAATCCATCTCATGTTACTCTCCTGCTAAATGCCTTCCTAATTGAAGAAGAGCCTATCTTTATAGGTAAGTGAAGTTAAATTCAATCAAGTCTTGAAAATAATGAAGCCAATGTCTGTATCAAGAGAAAGATTCACTTTCTCAAAATCAGACATGGATTATTTTAAAGAGGACTAGACAGTAAAGCCTTTCATTTTCCTTTGTTGCATTTACGAAAATTTTTAGAGAAATAATTTTCTATACTCTGTTGTATTTCCTATTTTTCTATTTTATTTTCCCATGGAGTTACCTAGATCTTGTCTAATAATTAAATTATTTTGGAACTGTTACCCACCGGTTTAGTGTCTCAAAGACTGTACTTACTAAGGTTCAAAATTAGGTTTAGGTTTTTTTTGTCTAGGTTAAGGATCCATGGTCTCTCCATATATTTTTCATTTTTGTTCTCTTTCTATTTTTAAGACATAAGAATTTGCCAACATTTTTGTTAATGTTACAATTTACATTCCTTCTTTTTGTTCCTTATACATAGGCTGTCCCAAAACAACTGAGAGTAAGTCTGTATTTCAGAAACAATAATAGATATTGAAACGCGGTTTGTGGGAGGTTGTAGCTCATATCCTTAGCTATCCAACGAGCCCAAGATTTGCTATTTTGGTCAAACTTTCGCTGAGTTACAGCAATTTTTTGGAGCCGTGTAAAATAGAACCCTACAGGATTTTTGAGTATTTTTTTCCTTGTCTGAACTGTTGTTCCGAGGTCGCAACTTTGCGGATCACGTTGGCACTGGTCTAGATGCAAGTTCTAACATGTTTGCATGTGCTTTCATTGCATACCAGAGTTTTCTTCAACTTCCCAGCTCAGGGAAGCCAACATTGTCTAGCGTTAATGACACTTTCTTCCTCCGCCGCAGAAGTTCATGGCCGGCCGCCATGCGGAATCTAAGCCGCCGACTCGCGACCCTCGGAAAAAGCTGCATGCCACCGATAAATGGTGCTCTCCCCAAGTCGATTTTCTCCATAAGCAACTAACATCTCTTTCAAGGTATCAGAGACAGTTAAACCTTGGTAAACACAGTAACGGATGGCATAGCGTTGCTCTTGTTTCAGCTCCGCGGGCAAACTCATTGCACCAAGCGAGAACACGTGTCATCAACGCTAGACAATGTTGGCTTCGCTGAGCTGGGAAGTTGAGGAAAACTCTGATATGGAATGAAAGCACATGCAAACATGTTAGAACTTGCATCTAGACCAGTGCCAACGTGATCCGCAAAGTTGCGACCTCGGAACAACAGTTCAGACAAGGAAAAAAATACTCAAAAATCCTGTAGGGTTCTATTTTACACGGCTCCAAAAAATTGCTGTAACTCAGCGAAATTTTGACCAAAATAGCAAATCTTGGGCTCGTTGGATAGCTAAGGATATGAGCTACAACCTCTCACAAACCGCGTTTCAATATCTATTATTGTTTCTGAAATACAGACTTACTCTCAGTTGTTTTGGGACAGCCTATGTATGTTAGGACATCGCCATGTAGTTTTTTAAGTTTTTGAGTTACCTATCATGTCAGTACCTATTTGATAATGATGCTTAAAAGACTGTTACCAGGCCAAAAACAGTGTTTTTTCATGTTAGACCCACTGACGGTACACCTAAAAGCTACAATCAATTGAGTTTTTTTTATTGAGGGAATAAGCGTTGATTATTCCTTAATTCTGTATCCAAAAAGAAAAATTTATCTGAAGAACTCAACTACTGCAAACGTAACAAGTGCTCATTAACTGAATTGCAACTTTCCCCTCGTTTTGCCAGCTGGTATTTCGATCATTGGTGGAAAGAGCCAATTCCTTCAGTAATTTTTCTTCATCTCTCATACTACGTAATATGATTTCATTTTTTTCTAATAAAATTAATACTCCTAGTTTGGTTGTTAATGTCATGTTATTTTGTAATTTTCCCAGATTCTAATCAAGACCTAAGTGCACAAGTGAGAGGAGTAATCGAGGACGCCATCCGTGGTGCTATCCTTGAACTTAGGCAGAATCAGCTGCCTGAGAGCAATGGAGCAGTGGGCGCCGTCATTCACCACCATCCCTATATTCCGCCTCAGCGTTCAGAGAGATTTAATGAAACACCGAGTAGGCCACCTTTTGCAACTCATAATCGGCATGTTCAGTCCTGCAGCGACCCTGCCAGCAGTCTTCCTTTTCGGAGTCAAAATCTTGAGCCTGCAAGAAATGCAAATCTGTTCAGCCATACAGGAATTGTACCATATCTGGGAACCAGACAGCCAGCACCCCTTGCAAACGGTCCAAGACTCTTTCCCCCCTCAAACAGACCTGCCGCAGTTGGTACTTTTAATTGTAAACGATTAAAAATAGCAGACACTAAAGAGAAACCTTTCAATAGGAAAATGTTTCTCCTGGATAAAGCATCCGCCACTGAACTCTCGTCAGAAAACAGAGACAGGCTAGAAAGCACAGGATTCGTCTTGGACCATAGGAAACTGGACCGAGGCTGGTCAAACCAGGCTTTGAAACACAAGACCTACGAAAGTACTTCAAAAGTGTTATGCCCGAAAGCATTAAAATTATGTTTATTAGATTCAATGGAAAATCCTTCAAACCATTTAATCTCGATGAAGAAGAGATTGATGGTGCCTTCTTAAGTGAAAATACAAACAGCATTGTCTACATTAGACCAATGCAAGACATTATAAAAGATCAAAATCAATAACCCTCTCCTATACATATTGATGATGAAGGGCGAACACAATTTTACACTATAAGAGATGAAATTCCTGAAGATAAATTGCCTTTACATGATTCTCCAACCTTGCTTGAACTCAATGATGATGACATCCTTACGGAGGCTAGATCAAGCCATATCCTTTCTTCTGATGAAGTTGTCTTTATAGAGAAAGTACCCCAAGACGTAGCCTTAAAAAAAGCAACAAAAAGGAACAGAACCAACACAATCTCAGTTCACCAGTAGCATTCATGGAGCATTTTGAGCTGCTTTTAAAAAAACTGAGATTAACAATTAACAGGGACACCATTTCAGCACAATTCTATGCTCTATTCAGAGAGCCTTCCTTTTCTGTCTTAATAGATTTGAGAGTGACATTCTCAGGTGAAGAGGGAACTGACTGCAGCGCTCTTAAAACAGATTGCCTCAGATTGTTACTAAACGAACTAAAAAACGATCTATCCCTTTTTGAGGGAACCAATTATGCCAAACTCTTAGGCTTAAACATGCACAATTTGGCGGACGGAAGGTACAAATTTGTAGGGCAGGTCCTACAAATAGCCATCCTGAATAAAATTCTGAGTTTTTCAGTCCCTTTTTATATCAAATGATATCGGAAAAACGTCCAAATCTCCCTTACAACATCAATAATGTGGAGAATGGTGCAGTGAAAAATGCTCTTCAGGAGCTTGAAGAAGGAGGAAATGCCTTCGCCTGTAATGAAGTTATCCATGAGCACATTGAGCACCCCTGCATTTAGTGGGCAGGCGTGAAACTATGTGTCCAGTCAGCCACTTTTAACGAGGACAGAAGAAGCATTCTTACAGGTAGCTTTTCACTTGTTATTTGTTTCTAAATCGTAGTTATTCAAAAATAGAGGTGAGCACACCTAGTGAATGTATCACTTGAAGTCAATCTCTCTAATTTGTGTCTGAACTTTGTTGAGCAGCGACCACGAACAAGGTATAAGCATCCTCTAAGCAGGAGAACGATTTTCTAAGGCATCAGATTGCTGCTAATATTGACTGCTAGCTTTTCTTTATCTAATAATTAAACAGATAAGCACGCACAGCTTTAAATTAAAAATCCATTATCATAGTTAGTTTTCCACATGGGCTTCAACTGTTGCTACAGGTAGCTAAAATATCAGAACTGTCAAACAAAATGCCACCCACGGAAAATTCTTCCGATCATTTTGATGCAAACTAGTCTGCGACTCAAGGATTCCATTGAAGTTTTGCATTGGTCAGATGTTTTTCAAACTGCTGGAGGTAGAAACTCGAAATTTTTAGTACGGCCCTTAAAACTCTTGGTTGGGGACAACAAAATTCTGAACCCTCAGCCCCCTACATTTTATGAAAAAGCTCTGAGTCAACTCTCACAAAAGCTTTATAGAGTCTGCATTATTGTTTTGTTTTCTTTTAAAGTAACTAAGCTTCTTCATATGAAACTTGCTGTGTAATATACTCTGTACTTAGCGAAAAGCTCATTCAAAATTTTAGAACTTTTTTTTCTTCAAATATTCGAACTTCATTACACTTTACAGGATAATCCCCCATCAGAGCACGGAAAGTTCCCAAGAGAGACCAAAAGTATGGACTTAGCCACGCTCATACAGTTGGAGAGACGTGTTTCTCTAAGATTTTTGCGGATGTCCCTTAAAAGTCGACTTTTGATAAAGTTGTTTTTAGCTATGAGCTGATCATCTAGCTAAAACCAAACCAGGGTTAAAGCGAGTCCTAAAGCCTCCTTGATAACATATCAAAAGCTCGTTTTGGTTAGACAATGTGCTCGGTGTCAAAAAAGCCTCGGAGTAATAGAAAAACACCCATTTTCCGCTAAACTGCAACTGCAGACCTACGTTCAGGCAACCATTTAACATGTATCCAGTGGACCAAATCATGATTATTCCTGCAAACTGCATTGAGTCAACTTGGAAAACCCGCATAAGTTTCCAGATTCTGGAGGGGGCTAAAAAAGGCCCTTATTGATACCTCTCCGATTATTTTCAAATATAATTGTAGGTGTTTGGGGGAGTAAAATTATGCAAAAATGTAACAAAAGAAATATCAAGACTCAAGAGAAAAATCAGGATGAAAATAGGACCAGTTCAAAAGATGCTTTGCAATTGAACCAGAGTTTAAGTCATTTTTCACTGAAAATGTATTCTTCACGAGTGCTTTTGCTTAACAGGGCAGTTTAGGTACATGAGTGACAAGATAACGATGCACGAAAATTCAATAATAAACTCACTGTGACGGAGTAATTCTTTATAGAAAAAAAGAAAATTTTCTAAATAAATAAATACATGCTGAATACATAAATATATGTATTAATGGAGTCCTTTGAAGGCTGGCAGAAAATTTTCTTTTCAGCTTTCAGCAATATGATGTTCTAGATTTTTTTTTTTTTGAAAATTGAACTAGGATGTACATACCTACTTTATTATCGCAAGGGTCTCAAGAGGTTATTTATATAACTTCATTGCGGTATTTCAATTACATACTTTTTCCTGTTAATTACACATTACCATGGCTGAGCATGAGACTGCCTCATACATCCGATACAATAGTAGAAATGTGTACAGACATACCTCTTGAAATACAGAAATGTTTTCCATTTTTCTAGAAAACTAGCTCATGAGTATTTGCCGATGCAAAACCACCCTACATAATCAATCAAAATAGAGGAAGTACCAGACTACAAAAGTAAAAATATTTTTGAGAAAAATGGGGAAAAAAGATATATTTCAAGGCAGGCTGCAACTTATCAAGAGAAAGTCCCAATTTTCAGCTAGAAATAATATTTTCTTTCACTTATCAAACATTGTTGGTAGCTCTTTTTCTCTATCAAAGAGGTCCTCAAAATTTAGAGGTTTACTTGGGGCCCTGCCGTCTGTAGGATCTTAGATTTTGTACGCCTGTACGAGAAGAAAACTTGTCTGCTCTTTTTTCTTCCTTCCTTGAACTCAGTCTATTGGAGGTGCGCTTGACGACTTCACATTCATCGATGTCGGAATTAGTGGGTGGATAATTTTCAATGCTAAGGTTTTTCTGTTTCTTAATTGTGCGAAACCGCGTTTCACAATTGCTTTTTTGCCCAGCAGGCAGTTTATCCTTATTTTCATTTCCTAATTGTGAGTGTAAAATGATTTTTCTTTTTCCACACCAATCATTTCTTTCAAGAATAACCAAGGGAATTTTTTTAAAGTCATTTAAGTACGCTTCAGCTTTTGCTTTCCCTACTTTCTCTGCCGATTGGGTCAAGCTTAGACGAGGATTCTTACATCGTTGCAATACTAAAACAGGTTGAGCCCACTTATTACTACTACTGATTTTAGATTGAACCTCCTTTTTGAGACCTTCATCATCTTCAGAGCTTGAAGCTACGCAGTCAGTATCAGAACTGCCGGATCTTTCAACCTCCTTCTCGAAACCATTATCATCTTCAGAGTTCGAAGGTTCGTAGTCACTATCGACAGAGTCTTCTTCAGGTTCACTGATGTCACTTGAGTGGTCAGACAAGGATTCATGAAAATGTTGATCTTTGTTGCGTTGTCTGAAGTTACGTTTTCTATGATCACACTTTTCTAGTTTAATTTCCAAATGCCTACCTGAAATACAAAGAGAAAAACAATTGAATTCATTCTGGAAAATGGCAAGTCCTAATTCTCATGATATAGAAACGACCGATTGTTTTTTGAATAGACTTTATGGATATGTGATGAGCTCATCTGTTTCTGATCTTGCAAACCTGCTTTCAAATTTGATTTGAACGAAAGAAACCCAGTTTCTTCTGATTCACAACACTTTTTTTTTATCTTTGCCGGTTTTAGTGCATTTTCCTTCCTTGTGAAAAAAAAAAAAATTGTTTCCTCATGATTTGGGATACATTTTTGTGGGAACAATGGACAACTTGACAAGATGCAAATTTGAGCACTAGGATGCATGAAATCTCAGCAAAATTTCACATAGAATACAATCTGCTCAACAAATATGATTAAAAGCATCTCCTGATCAAGCTTTCAATGCTTTTTAGTGCATAAATCAAAACTTCTCCCGAAACTTCTGACCTTAATTAATAGCTCTATACACAACACAAACAGTCCAAACTCTCTAACATATCAAGTATTTTCTCTCATTCAAGTATTTTTCACTCCATCACACCCTAAGATATATCTCATCGCTGAGTTCTGTCCCTTCTGAAGATCCCTAATTACTTTACAGTTAGCCTCTCCAAGTAATGACAGCAATAATGTAATTTTGATCCAATTAGTGCATTATCTACAATACAATTTCCTACTTTCTTTCCCTATGAAGAGTTTTTTCCTTGGTTGAGAGATATTTCCAGCAAGTTATAGTGTAAACTGTGTTCTACGCAAAGTTTTTGTGAGGATACAGAGATCATGATGCTTAAATTTGTACCATGTCTGGTAGTCCTATAAACAAGAGCATGATAGTATCGAGCCTAGGGCACCCTGCAGTAGTAGTTTTCTAGGATTGATTACTTCTTTTACAGAAGAAAATACTACTCATTCTGAAAGTTGGTGTCTTCAGAAAAGTGAATGAACTAAAGAGTTTCAATGAACTTACCTTGGCAAACCTCTCTAGCTAATTTAAAAAGTTCAACTTCTTTGAGCTCTTGGAGCTTTTTGAGCTTTTTTTGTTGGGCTTTCGCACGACTCATTTCCGTTAAGTAGAGAAACCTTTCCTTTTGTTTTGCAGCTGTGCGCTGTAGACCTTCCTCCTTCATTTTTGTAAGTTTTTGGCGGAGTGCTTCCATTATGACAAGCTGCAAATGATGAAAGAACAGAGTTAAGTGATGTCTCTGGTAAAGTCTCAGTACTTAAAAAAAGGTCCAAATTACTTAGCTCGATTACAGAAAAAATTTACTTTTCTCCATTTTTAAATAATGCTAAGACACAGTGATGCCGAATCAAGTATAATTAGACACACTGAGTATAATTCGAAGGTTTGCAGATCTTGTGAAAATGCCGATTACTTCCGGATATATTAAAAAAATGCGGATCTTCTGCAAATCATCTGCGTATTTTCTTCGTTCACGCGTGCAGCTACCCACGTTTTAAAATTTTAACCTCGAAATGATCACAATTTACAATTCTTACTAATGAAATAAATTTTTGGATGCAGATCTTTTACAAATCTGCGGATTACATACAGGTAAAAGGGTAAAATTAGAGCCAACTATTTGCGGATCTTTTGGTGCTCTATCCTTTGAAAAGTTCGAACGGTAGCACTGCCAAGACAACATATCGAAGGGGAAACCATCAGACTACGTATCTGGGTTTGTGGCTTCGCAGACTTCCAGTCATACTTCATTTTCGCATGGAAAACTCCCCACCGTAAATTCTTAAGAACTTACGCGATTTTTCTTTGGTGTGTGAAGAAAACTTCAAGGAATGATATTGATTTGTTCTCCTCCACAAAAATAAAATGGGAGCGGCGATTTTCAAACACCGCAAACAAGATATGTGGTCCGGTAGTTTCACCGTCCATATGAATTCTGTTTGTGGAGGTCTAACTTTGTTCTCATCGTAGACCATGTTGCCTTGAGTTGCCCACAGGGGCATGATGTATGACAACTCAGCTATGCTGTTTCCTACCCTGACAAAGTGGCAATACAAAGCCTGGATGGTGTAGGAAGTTTTAAAAGTCCTCCTACAAAAGATATGCCCTTACTTACTAAAGAAATGGCTGGTGGTTTGGCCAATGAAATTCAGCTTCTGATCCTAAGGGTCATTGTACAGACCTCATTACAGTTAATGTCCGATACAAAACCGGAAATGACCATCTATTGTAGGTACCTGCCAATTTTCTAACCATTAATGAGTTTTGTTTCCTTCCACTTTACAGTCTTGTAGTTAGAATCCTTAAAATTCAGATTCTGAGATTTTGCACTAATCGTACTGACCTCAGAGGCTCATGTTGGGTTGGATAAAAGCTCCACCAATAATTTTTTTCTCTTTCTTAAGTATCTTACCAACATATTCACTTTAGTTCATTTAAATAATTTATGAGTGCAATCCAAAGTTCGTTGGAGAAATACAACTTTTCATCATCATTAGATCTAGATCAGTGCTGCGATGAATCCACACATCAAATCCTTACAGCAGTGCATTAAAGTGATTCGTCCTGAGATGCGAGACATAGCTTGTAGTATTTATTCTTTATTAATTGTACCTGCAAATTCCTGCAGTGTCAGCATTGCCTTGTGAATGCCACTGTGGCAACTTTTCGGCTTCACATTCACAATGATGCCATGCTGCTCCGGCTTTTAACAATATAGCAGCTGGCTGCAATATAGTATTATAGTAGGGGAATTCATTTCCTAATTGAAAACTCATCAACCAGAAACGGCAAATCTAAGGATGAGAGGTTGACCAACCTCTACTTAAAATACCTTGCAACTCACAATGACCAAATTAAAACAAAGAAAAGGACACTTATTTCAAGCTTTGTAGCAGTGCTTATGAAAAATAATATTGTGAACGCGGGCCGTCCTAGGTGCAAATAACTTCACTTGTCGACTCTTCCGCTTTACCTAATTCCGGTATGCATTGAACTCACCTGCCAAGTCTGCTGTCAGGAAGAGGAAGCTGATTTTCAGTTGATATGAATGAATCTAATTGAAAGATAGTTGAATCACTTCTAAGTTTACTGATCGAAGGATGGGGCAATAAATTGTGCTTAGTTCGACTGTTAATGCTGGTGCAAAGAATCGGAATAGCACCTTCTGACAGGTGCAGGTGGCAAAGGTCACGACTAGAAAATAAACACGATATTTTGAGACAATAAGTATCTACTGTAAGTAATTTGTTAGTGTTTAAAAAAAACTTTTTTACTGAATAGTCAAGTCTCAAGTATTTATCTCTTGAATCTCTTGCCTTGTGTCAAACTTATTATATTAGTAATAGTAAGTAATTTTAGGTTAGAAAAATCCTCTAGAAAAATCAACAAAAATCAACCGCGAAAACCTCATTTCCGGTGGCACACCACCGGAAGTGGCGGAAGTAAACATTACAGTAACCTAAAAATTAAAATTTGACAGACACGTGATTGTGATTACGTGAATGTGAGTCGTGGAAGCGGAAGCTCAAAGTTCGGTAAACAAGTGACAACGTCTCATGCAAGTGGATCACGAATTGAAAGTAACTTTTTTTGGATGTTATCACCTTTTTACATCATAAGTTACCATGTTCATCACGACTCTATTCATCACATTTCGCCCAAAAACGAGCAGTTGGGAGTTCAAGTTTGAAAAGGAACAATTCAGATTTTAGCCTTCTTTTACGCTATCCGCCTTTTATAACATCCTTTGATGCTTTGGAACACTTTTATGTACTTATTTCATATTTTGAGACTTTTGAATACTGCACTGGCTCAATTGAGAAATTCACCTTTAAGATCTCACAATTCGCATAAGACAAGTCAGGTTGTCATCTGTTTTCTACTTCCTATTTAATTTTTAAATTGTATTTTGGTTAATTAAAGACATGTTTTTCCATTTCAGGTTTGAAATTCATTTTGTAAAACTCAGGTAGTGTCCCCATTCACTCCTAAGGTAGCAGAATGAGGACAAGGACAACGCCTTATGCCAGAATCACTCGCTGAATGTGGAAGTCATCGGCCTGATGCCTGAATTTCGCGTGTGTCACGCAAATTTCAGCAAGAATTCTCAGCGACCATTTGACAATGTCGGATTTGTCTGAACCACTCGAATAGATTTAATAAAAATCTATATGAAAATATCTGGAATTTGCAAAATTTCAGCAGTCGAGCGATGACTGTTGACTTTCATATTTAGCCACCAAATTCAGCGTATGATTCCGGCATCATTTACATTGAAATCTGCTGGTGTCCTCATTCACCCTAGTGCAGGGTGAATAGGGACAGTGAGTAATGAAAACGTTTAAATGGTTAAAATTTTCTTATCATCACAATTTTTGAGGAAAGTACAGGTTTTGTAAGGTCACAACTTGCTGTAAAAAAAAAAAAACCGAATTCTCATCAGAGGGCCACAGACGTGAATTTGCATAAATAACTATCCCCACACCCCCCGTTTTCCGGTATACAAACTTAAAATGAAACCAGGGTAACTTTGCCTACCTTGGACATGTTCAATCTTTTGATGCAAAAAAATAAGAGTATTGGAATAAAGATAAGTTCAACTCTATGTAGAACCTGTAAAAATTTTCCAAAAGAGGTATAATGTGCCAGCTTATACTTAAGATCCTTCCTGGAGAATTTGGCGGGCACTGCTGCTCAAAAGGATTAGAACACTATTTGCGAGATCTTACCTACATCTCTTTTCAATGAATATCTATTCTATTTTTCATTTTTTAGTCAGCCTGGCTTGTCATAAGTCAGACATATCTGTGGCGTGAAGTTGTTGAAGTTGTGGGTTGGTTGTAACGAATTGAGCTCTAATCTAGAGTCCCTTTATATGTACTTACCCCTCTTATCTTGTCAATCAAGTCATTAATTTTTATTGTGATTTCAGGTTGATAGCTGAAAAATCGTACAGATTTGAATTGTATTGACTGCCTTTAAGCTCGGAAAAAGAAAATGAGTAAGTATGTGCAGTTTCTAAAAAAAATTTTTTGGAAGTTTGAGAAATCTGAAACTTTTGAGAAAGTCCTACAAGGAAGACCAGCAAAAATAAACAGGAAGCTCTAGGCGCTAGAAAAGCGGTCAGCAGGGTTGTAAAATGAAAATGGCAGATGTGTCAGTAATCACCAAGCCTCAAAGAGGAAGATGGATTAAAATAATCAACTGATGGAAATTTTCTTTTGAGAGCTTTTATTCCTTACCAAAGAACGTAACCATGTTTACGAACGTAGGCAAGTTTTTACCAACTCCTAGTAATATAAGATTCCTTTATTGAGAATAGTTTGCAATTTATTGCAAAACACTATCTATACCTATCAATAGTAGAGGTCAGATATTCATGATTGACCAGGTCAATAACAATGTGTAATTACATTGCTGTTGCTGGTGCCGACAGTGGCATGGATCCCTAACTAAGCTCCTGAACTATAAATAGGTATGATACCTATTCAGAATATTCCTGTACCTAATCCTATAGAAATTGTGCACTGAGAAACTGTTAGACCTCTCCATTCGAGAACTTTATCAATCAGTGTCAAATGGTCAACTGGAAAGTCTGTCCTATGAATTTTTATGCTAGCAGCAGTCTCAGCAAAATCTGATCCAGATAACTGCTGAGAGTTGATTCATTGTCCATAAATCAGTATTGATTTTTCTGTTTTCGGTTTCAGCTACTGATTTACCCAGTTCCAACAGGATGGATTCCTTCATCTCTGGTAATAAAAGTGAAAATGACCTTCAGAATAGTTCTCAAAAAGTGGAGGAAATAAAAAAGGAGCAGGTCAATGAAAGGTATGTGTCTAAAATCGATGACAGGAGGGTTTCATTTTTAGTGTAAGAAAATGTGAGGAATTTTGCTTATTCTGCTGAAGCTACGTAAGTATGACTCTTCGCAAAAAGTTTCTAGGTATCCATGATTATTGAAACAATAGATAGTAGAACAAATTAAATGTTGACTGAAATGGTTCATACACCCTTAAAAAATCATTGATTTTGAATATTTTCAAGGCCTTCAAAGTGCTCAATTTTTGTGAAAGGCCCTTTTAAAAGCAATTGAATTTAACTCTTTACTAATTTTGTCAACAACAGATGCTAGCTGTTGGGGAATAGTAAAATACTTGATGTTAAATAGATCATGTGGAAAGAGATACCAAAATAAATCTCGATTTACCTTCAAAGAGAACCAAATATTAAAGGACTTGCATGATAAGAGGGAATAATTTTGCTTATCATCCAAAAATTTACCCTGTAGGTTTTTGAGCAGTGCTTAATTTTTTATTCTTGAGGCTGCACAAACCATGACTAAACAAGCAATCCATATTTTTAGTTGTACGTCATCATTCGCTGTCTCGTATTAATAATGAAACACACATCACAAATCTGAATCAGCTTAACTACATCTCATGTTGCTTTGTTGGGCGTATTCAAATAAAAAAGAACTTAATCCATTCAACATGAGCCCTAAGCTCCATAAGAATACATGCATGACAGGGTTCATGTCACAGTGAACATAGTTCCTTTTGATTTTAATGTGTCCCATTTCGTTCATGCTTCATTTTTCAACAGAAATTTTACGCATATTCTACCTGGGACTTTGTACTTATATTTTGTATAAATGTGAGGGAAGTTTATAGAAAGTTTTGAGGCATATTATCTCTTTTTGCTTGATTTGTTAATGAGTGAAAAAAATGAAACATTCAAGAAATCAAGCAACATGAAATTGAGTTAAACAAATTCTGGTTAGTACTCTCCGAAGGTTTCTGGAAAAGCCTATTTTGTTGGCAATGAGTCATTGTTTTTGGTCACTCTTCACCTTTTAGTGTGAAATTAAATAGCAGGGCTTTTTTCAGGAACTCAGATGAAACTGATTTTAGGGTTACCGTGCTATATCCAGGCTACTCAAAATCAGTTAAAGATGGAATGATAGCTAACTGCTCTTGCACTCTAATTACTGGTTGTGTGAATGTCATAGTCGACACCATGACTCCATGGGATCAAGAGAAAATTATCAGAGGTAAGAGATAAAATTAACTTATTATATGGGGGAAAAGGGAAAAGTAAATCTAAAAAGGAAAGGAGTTAGAAAAGAATGCGAGAAAATAACAATTTGAATACATTTTGCAATTCAGAACCACAATATCTGTCTCAATTTAGAAATAACGTGTATACCATTAGTTTTTCTAGGTACGTACATAAATGTTTTTACGAATGAGTCAGAAATTTTAGTTCCATATAATTTCAAAATAAAGTCCAGTTGTGATGTTTCAAGGAAAAATTAATTGAGCGGTGGGGAAAGACTAGGTAACTCGACCAAAGCTTTCAGGGGTTACTTCTGTATCTTTTGGCGCAAAAAACATTCAAAAATTCATCCTTTGGGAGCAATTCAAAGTTCAAAGACAAAAAACTGGGAAGTCAAGGAAACTGCTGTTTAAGTTTTTCGGCGCTGTTGTCAGTCTTAAAAAAATCATTGCCAAAGCTTATAACATCATTAAAAATTCAAAGTTTGCCCAAAAAATTGGATCCGATTTTCTCAAGAGTACTAAAAAGTATTTGGATAAGAGAAAATAGAAAAAAGAAAAGAATGGATTCCTTTTTGTCTTCAAAGAATTTTTGACTCCTGCTGAACTGAGGTATTTCTTGATTTATCCCTAGGTCTTAGAAATTTTGATAGGATGATTTCCTCCCGACAAGTTTCAGTTTTTCACATTCTCCTCATCGGAGGGCTCATAAGGGTCCTATGTAGATCCACCCTGAATTTCCTCAATTTTACGATTTTTTGCTCTTTGAAGGTCTATATTTCATAGAATGCAACATGATTTGGTCATTTCCGGTCTCTTTTTGGGTCTAACACTGGCAGAAACATAGGTCTAAAGGCCGATTTTGGCAGACAACCGGGGTTTGCTGGGGTTAATGGTTGAATGCCAATAAAGTCGCATACTTAGCTAGGTTGGACCCTCAGACAGCCTCCGTCAACAACCCCTTCTTTCTGTATTTTACCTCTGCAATCTGACGGTAAGTTTCACTTTCAGACTTGACTATCCTTTTAGTATTAAAAGAGATGCTTCTATTTTTCAGGCTTGGAGCTCCATGGTTTGCAATGCAAGGATATCAACTATGTTGTTTGCACACACGGCCACTCTGATCACATCGGAAACAACAATCTGTTTCTCAATGCAACTCAAATCGTTGGATTTTGCATATCTCACAAAGACTTCTACTTCACCCATGACTTCGAGAAAGGTAATATGGCATGTAATCGAGTCGGTCATTTTCAAAAGGACCTCAGCACCAAAAGATCTAAAATTGGTGTAATTGAATGGCTAAAATTTAAAAGACATGTAATTGCATTGGTCATTCTCAAAAAGAGTTTAACTTGGAGTCTAAAATTGGTCTTTTAGAATTGCTGAGGTGCAGATGCATCTTGTTGCAAATTAACACGCCGAAAAAACGGTTTTTATGGCCTAAAAAAACATCCGAAAAGTTCAGTCATTCTCCAAAAGACGCAAATGCCATATCGTACTTGCTTATCTTGACTTAACTGATTTAAATCCCTTTCGCAGTTACCTTGAATTTTCAGGAATGAAGGGATAAATATTTGTTTTTTCAGGTCAAACTTAGCTCTGCTTTTGAGATTTTAGCAAGTTTTCGCATGTGTAAGTGATCATCAGTAGTGTTAATGAAAATTTTTGTGCTCATTACGGCTGGAAATACTAAAAAATTTCACTTTTATTGGAGAAAATATGTCGAAATATGTCTGTTAATTCTCAAAAAGAATCAAGCATTAATACATTAGGTACCTCCTTTTTTTTTACTTGAAATCACAGGAAATTTTCTGGAACAACCACAATCTAATTTTAAATTGTAATCTTCTCACACATTAATTTTTCTGCTCTCCGAGATTTAGAAATGGCAGATTAAAATACTTTTCACTCTTTCTCTGGAATTATCATTTCTGGTGATTTAGTCCTTTGGAAAATGACAAATTCAATTATCATGTCCTCAAAGCAAGAAAATGCGCTTAGTTTGTCTGCTAATTATCAGATTTATTGTGATGGAGCATCATGAAAAATTGAAAATTTACAACTTATCAGCAGCAAATCATTCAGAAGCAGTATTTCACGGAAAAAACGACCGGCAGCAAATAAATTGATAAATGAGATGATAGTATCAGTGCTCAGAAGTGTGTTCTGTGAGCATCATAACAAAAAATTTCAAGGAATGATGTGTCCGTGGAGCATTTTACATTGTGTAAATTGCCTCCAGAGTGTGAGGATCAACTATATGTTGCAGCGTGAAATCAAACATCTCTTTTTCTATTTGTAGGTGATGTCTATAAGTTAAATGAACGAATCCAAGTCATCCCAACTCCAGGACATACACTAAGTGATGTGTCAGTTATCGTCAAAACAAAAGATAAAGGTGTCATCGCTATCGTTGGTAAGTTCTTGATCATTTTATTTGGCAGAAATGTTGATGGTTTAAGGTTTTACTCTTGACTTTTTGAATTCTATACTTAAGCTTTTAAATCTTGAAAAAGATAAAATAAATCAATTATAATAGTTGCTATCCTTCTATTCATTGGGAGGCTGCAACGATTCTCTAGTATCTTACCTTCTTCTTTAACCTTACTGAATTCGTACGATTTTTTATTCCATTTTAATTTCATTTTGTTTCATAATAAGGTGATCTCTTCGAGAATGAGTTTGACCTGAATGATGAATCCATATGGCTAGACGCAGGCAGTGAAAATGCTGACTTACAAAGAGAGAATAGGAAGAAAATTTTGGAGATGGCTGACTACATAATTCCTGGGCATGGAAGTATGTTCAAAAATCCAAGAAGCTCCATAAATACTTAATATAAAGACATAGAACTGTCGAAAAGTCGGTGAGTATCACAGATATTCCGATCTGTTTCAATTATAATTTCCTGCCAGAAGGTTGCCTTGTAGCTGCTTCTTGGACATACCCCACTGTCATCTCGATGTTCATATTAGCGTGTGGTCATACAGTTCATATAAATTTATGCAAGGAGCAACAAATCCTATTGTACTGTTTTAGAATTTCTATTCCTGTTTAATTTTTTAAGTGGCAATTCTCAATAAATCAAAAGTGAGATACTACCTATCTGTACCTGTACCTACCTCGAGGTAAAAAAATGTTGCTTCGAGGAAAACCTGTTTGAAGTTTGGACAAACAGAAAGATTGCATCACTCTCTCACAAAACATTGCGCAACTTATTCAATAATGATCAGATTTTTTTTTTAAAAAAAACTTGGTCTTGAACTACAGCTGAGGGTAAGTGGAATTTGATAAAAGAAAAAAATCGAAATAATTTGTTTTTGAAAAAAGATGACTTTCGACTCCTCTTAAGCTCCATCAATCTTAGATCACACACCAAGCATCTTAGCAGAGCCCATTATCAGGGTGTCTACAAGTCTGGAATTTCCGGAGAGTCTGGAAAGAGTACTGATTTTTTAAGGGCCGTCTGGAAGTACTGGAAAAGTGCGGAAATTCTGCAAAAAGGTCCGGAATTTTTTGATTTTTTGTCATTTTTGTTGCAATTTCAAATTTTTGAAATTTTTCGAATTTTGTCAAATGGAGGCACTGAAGAAGAACGGAATTTTTCTGTTGGAGGAGGTACTAAATTTCTTGAGAATGTACCAAAAAAGTACTGTAAAATTACTTATTTTTGACCAGCCTGTTTTAGTAGACACCCTGATTATTTTTTCTTACTTGGTAAGAATCGATTATAAAAATATCATTCAACCTCACAGACATCTTCAAACAATCATCCTCCTTATCTGACATATGTCTACCAGTGGCTTGGCGTGCTATGCAATGCATCGATTGTTTTGCCATTTGAACCTATGGAAAAGGATGTTCCCTAAATATGGATAATCGATCATTCACGCCTCGCCACTGAAGTCTACTGTTCAAAGCCAGAACGCTGTTGCTCCATTCTAGATTTGTTCAATTTTTTCCAACACTTTTTCTGTCACTAGAAAACCAATGAAAATCCATCTTTCATATTTTCAGGATGATTTGGAAAGCTACCAGGAATTCAAACGAAAAGTCACAAAATGAAGCACCCTGGTGATATTGTTTTCTTGCAAAGGTGCTCTCGGGAAGAAAAATGTAAGATCTAGAATGAAGTTATGGTGTTATTTAGTTGGACGGCAGTAGCATGCTCAATGAGCAGCTAGACAAGGTATGGATGAAAGTACTACGCAACATGTTTTCTCCTCAAAATTTCTCCCAGAAAACGAATCAAACCACAGGAAGTCTGTAAATCAATTTTTAAACGAGATACAAGTGTTTAAAATTAGCATTTGTTAAGTGGCGAAAGTACAAATGACATCGTCTGTATAATCTAAAGTTCGTTCGATCTGTGTCAACAACATTTGTTAGTACCTCGTTCAGAAATAGATTTCCGAATCTCCTGCGGCATGAAATGTTTTGCACATAAGATTTTAGAGGGAAAAGACGTTACGTTTCTTTCCAGTCAAGACCTTGTCTAGTCATCCATTCTCTGAGGTGATTTCAAGTTCAGTACTTACTGTGGTAAGAAAGTACTGATAGAAAGGATTGCGCTGCTTATCATAGACTATTCCATTATAGTTTTGTTCACATTTATTCTAAAAGAACTTTGAATACATTTTTTTACAAAAAATAAATTAATAAAGAACTGTACAATCACTGAGATGTGGGGTAATTACACAAATTAACAGGTTTTGAAAATTTATTAAGAAATTCAAGATGATACGCTGCGATGAATTGTCCTCTTGTATGTTTATTTCCTAATGTCATAGAAAGAACTCAATCAGTGAGAAATGAACTGAACCAACTCATTAAAAAATGTAGGAAATTTTAAAATGTTAGGTTAGGCCAGGGATAGTACTTGAAAAGACAGTTAGGACATGTTCAGAGATTGGAGACACATTAAAGAACAGCCAATATTTGGTTTTGACATCAGATAAAATTCCCCTCAAGATAGGAAACCAAAGAAACCAATGGGATCAATTTGGTAGGTCAATTGGATATATTCATGCCAAAAAAGAACCTTGTGAAAATAAATATATCAAAAGGAACAATCTGCATAAGGTTGGCATGCTTTATAGTTTTAATTTTAATTATATTTTATTCATTTGCTCTTGGTTCTTTTCAGTTCAAATACATCCAGTTTTCTAAATTATTTCTTGATTCTGAAGATGGGACAGTAATGCCCTAAAAAGACCAATTGGACTACATTTTACAATAAAAAACTACTACATCTGGCTAATTTTAGGAAGAACGTATGCGTCATTAGTTTCCCTGTGCAGATACGTGCCAGCCAGAAGGTTGAGCCACAAACTGTAGTGCCTGTAAGCAAAATGTAGTCCAATTAGTAATTTAAGTTTGTTTTAAATGAAAAAAAAATTCGGTTGTGATCAAAATACAAATTTTAAAAACTGCAACTATTTTCCAATTTTTGTAAGATAATGAATATAGGCGAACTTAAAAACCGCCAACATTTTTACAAAAGGGTTTACCAGAATATTTACAAAATTAATGTAGACCCCAATATAATAGTATGTACCTAATATTATGCAAATTATATTCACATCAAAGAATGAATGAACATGTGCTGTTCTGAATTTGGATTTTTGGTTCTTGCAGCTAGGAAAGATGAGTGAACGTTTATTACTGTTCCTTGAACCAATTGAAGAAAAGCAAAAGCCTATCTGGTTTATTTTGAAGTAAAGCCACTCCAAAACACTCAATGGAAGCTTTATAGAAGCTTCTCAGAAGAATACTATTACTAGGTAAGATGAATGCTGTTATATCTTAGTCCAAAATGCAACATCAGGCTTCGAGTGCCAGACTTTTGATATTTTTTTAAAATCTTTTAAGCAACACCTTAGCGACAGTTGCTATTTTTGGGAAAACTATTTCCAAAATTTTGCTGTGGCTCCTGGTTAGTATAGCCAAGAAAAAGAAAAATTTCTATCTTGCTACTATCAGGGGTGCAAAAGATGCCTGATCTTAAGATCAGCTGATCACAGAAAGGAAGAGGCAAACTTGGGTCAGTTTTCAAAAGTGATGCCATTTTTTTTGCTTTCTCTCACTCTCTCATATAGGTGGGATAGATCATACATTTGGACGTATTTCTATCAAATGGAACTATGTACATCAAGACATGAGCCCTAAGACCCATAAGAAAACATGTATAACAGAGCTGCACATAGTTCCGTTTGACAGAATTACGTCCATTTTATCTTAAGATCAAAGCATTTTATCATGAAATTAGATATTCTACTGTGAAGTGGATTGGAAATTAAGCAGTGAGGCAAAACTCCTGATTGCAAGGAACAGTTGGTGTTAGGAAACTTTTGTACCCCTGTTACATAACTTTTATTTTATTTTATTTTTTTTACCTTAACCCAATTCCGCAACAGATTGACAAGATCAATTAGTTTTTGACTTCTTTGTCTCAAATCTTCAGTTAGATATTGCCATACACCGCGTAGAAAAGCTTTTATGTCTGGCAATAGAGTATTTGAATAATTTTTTCCATTTTACAAGATAATATCTGATCAATTACAGTTGCAATATTGAAAAAAAAAACTGATGAATTAAAGATAAAGACGCTTTTTCAATTGCAGTCCTAAAGCCTTTCAAACTTGTCCATATAGTAATGACATGTTACAGATTGTTTCCATAGACTAAAGAAACAATCGGAACACTCTGTAAACATACATTTTAATTTACGAATTTTTAATTTTTTTGTACTGCAGTTAAAACTGGTGGGGCAAAATTAAGTCAAATGAAATAAGGTCCTCAAATCTACTTCTTCTAGAGACATTGGTTTTTTTCTGTCCTCACCTGTGAAAACAAACAAAGAACATGCAGACTGAGATTTAAGACATCAAAGGAAAAAGTTACTTGAACCTATTGAGGATGAGAAAAAGCGATCGCCACCTTTGTGACTTCAAAAATACTAAGTGAGGTAATGGCCGTTTCCAGTGTTCATGCTGCTCATGTCCTCTGAGATTTCAATCAACGATTCAGAAGAATCCTCTTCGCTCTCATTTTGCTGTAAAGTCATAATACCAGAGCGCCTCGCAATAGCATCAGATTTGTTTGGGTTTATCCTCTGTATGGGCCTGTCCTTCACATTAGATGGGCGAACCTTATCATTGGTTTTGCCTATCATATGAGCTTGCTCTTCTGTCAGTTGTAAGTGTGGTGAGGTTGGCTGTTCTTTTGGTAAATTCCGTTGTTGCAGAAAACGAGAGCGCGTCGGATCCTCTCCACTATTAAAGAACATACTTAGAAGGTCTGTGATACGGTTCCTAGCAGACCACCATTCTGTGTTAGAAGATGAGTTCCTCGCCTCAAGGTTGTTTCCATCCATGCTGGAATTCATCTTGGAATGGTGAGGCTCTTGTCTGCTGGGTGAGATTGAAATGGGCCAATGGGATGGAAGAACCAATGACTCAGAAACACTAGATGAGCGCATTGTAGGAGAGGCAGGCATTAAATCCAAAACTCTCGAAGTAGAGGTTTTGGTGGCAGGTATCGAACGGCTATCACTTACCATTTGAGGAGACGTAGCATCTTCATGTTTGGTTTGGAAAGGTGGCCATAGGGAATTAGCAACAATAGTTAGAAAATTCAATGTGTCTTGATAAGAGCTTTGACGCTCAGAATTTGGCGGAACATTCTCAGTTGGGAACGAAGGTGACAAGCTCCAAGTTTGGGAAACAGGCGTTGGAGGTTGTGCTTTATCAGTTGGAGGAGTGCCCATAGTGTGATCTACTTTCTGAATTTGAGGAGTGATAGTCGCATGATCTTCCCTCTCAGTTTGAGCATATGTCCAGTTTTCGGTGTTTTTGTCCTGCTTTGAATTCAGACTTTCATCGCAGATACAATCAGGATGCCTCTGGTTGAATTCCATAGAAATATTTCTACAAGAGCACATATTTCCATTTGTGTATACGAATATGTTCACAATAGGTCTGCTCTTTACATCATCAGAACCCTTGGAACCACCAAAGTTCTCTATCCAGTTTTGGATGTGATAGCTCTTTCTGCGGTCATGATAAGTGATACCAGAGACCCGCGATTGGTTAAAGAGTGTCACCTGGAGGCCAGCTTCATTACGGTTTTGCGAAAGAGCTTCGTTTCTTTGTTGCACACTAATGGGCGAGTTACTCTGGCGTTTCAACCCATGGTGGGTGGAGGCCTTGGCCGGACGAATCTCAAGGACTCCGTCTGATTCTAACTCTATTAAACTCTCCTCCGTTGTTCGCTGTAATGGATCTTCCCTGTTTTTAACGAGGGTCTTGAAGGAGTGGCTGTCAATGGCTCTACTCCTCTTGGGCTGATTATCAGCGACTGTATCGCTGAGCGAATAAATTCTGTTTTGATCCAGCTGTGACTCAGTATTTGCGTGAGAGGCTGAGAGAGTTGGGAAGAATTTTTCTACAGTTTGGGTGAGCACGCCTCTCCGTCTACGGGACTTCAACGATTTTAGAGCCGTGGGCTCATCAGCGATGCCAGTGGCATCCTGCCCTGATGAGCCCACCAACTCAAAAAAATGACCGGCTAAGTTTTCTCTTTCCTTTTGATTTTGAGAATCAGCTGCTGTTTCTATCAAAGATTGCTTATCATCGTTCTGAACCTTTAAGCCACGCAAACGCAGTGAATCTATCGTTCCATCTTTTGAGACTCCTATGCTGATTGAGCCTCTATCGAATATTTCACTGGGAACCACACCCAAAATCTCATTCATCCCTCCAAACGTCCTAGAAGATTTCCTGTGAGGATCTGGGCGTTTTGTAGATTCTGAATTTTTATCCTCTGGAGTCTTTCGGAACTTATTCTTCGTGGACGATGTGCGGTGGATTTCTGTTGTGCGACTTGTCGAAGCTCGACGGAGTGAGGGTTTCACAGAAGTTGTTGTTGTCGATGGTTTAGTGGAGGTTGTTTCTTCTAAGATGGCCTCTTCGTTGTTTTCCGACACCGATGATGGAGAGGTGGAAGTGGTTAAGCTGGAAGATGGTTGTTCGCTGGTCGTTTCCTTCTCGGTGGGAGTTGTAGAGTATGTAGGTTCTTTACTTGGTGTGGGTGGTGGTGGTGGGGGCGGGCGCATCCCAATTACTTGCTGTTAAAACAAAATTAGTTAGGTTACTTGATATCTTAATGATCAACAAAAGAATTTTCAACGTATTTTTTGCCTCTCGATCAAGCTGTCAAGGAAGCTTTTGTGCTTTGTTAAGTAGATTCGAGCACGGTTAATGGCAAAGCAATTATTAAAAGTAAAAAAGACAAGAAATCTAAGAATGTTAACAGTCCACACAAAAAGGGACCTTCCAACAAAGAGACACATTTTTCTACACTATGATTTTCCTTAAGTTTGGCCTTGAAATCGAAATTTTAATTTTTGACGAAGGACTCTTTCTCTCGTATCCTATGAAGTAAATTGTTAGCATGTAGTTCACTCTCGAGTCAATAGAGGGTGTGAAATTACCTTCCAATCCGCCAATTTTCAGCCATAATTATGTATAGGTAGTTAGTTTTTTTTAAAAAACTACATACATTTTCTGAGTCTCAAGGTTTGAGGCACCACTACACTAACTTAATCAGAAATTGTCTTGTGCCAAAATATTTGTAAAACCATCCTCCAAGTAGCATGATCAATACCTCAAGTTTTTTTGCACCTTTATTTTATTTTCCGAAGATGGTCGTAAGTAAATTTATGGAGCACTTGACACTATCACGAGAATGGGCTCAATGTTGTATCAGCAATGAAACTACAGGAACGCATATTGATGGCCATAGTATGGAACTACATAACTCCGTTTGCGATGTAGCAGACTTCCTGCCATATATTATTTTCTCACTGACAAAATAGTCAACATAATTTCCTGAAAACTGCCTTGATTTTTCCTTGCGATAAGCAAAATACTCTGTATTTTAAAACTGTAAAATTTGCTTCTTTTTCTCAGAAACACTGCAATTGAGATACTTTGCTTTGCTCTTAGTCCATCGATATCTCCAATTGCAACAGTTGTAGATTTCAAAACATTGCAAATAAGACACGCATCCATGTTGTTTCACCATTGATATGTATTATTTATTTAGAAATTCATCACCAAGAATTCAGATCAGAATACATTGATCTGATTTAAGGGCCATGAAGGAAGTTATTAATATTTTAATTAATCTATTTAAATGCGTCCATCCGCTCAAATTGCTTTAACTCAGTCTTATGGTCTTATATTCCTACCTTATTTAATAGTTTACAATTTTAAGCAATTTCTAATGCATTGTTTCATCATTCATTATCTCATGGAGTTTTCAATTTTAAACAGTAAGAGAGTACCTGTTCATTTACCGTTTTATTGACGTCACAATTTCTGCCTGTAAAGTTGTCTGTGCACAAACAGCGATAGCTGCCATCCTCCTCAGGCAGGCTCACGCAGGTACCATTATTTTCACACAAGTCAGGGTTTTCATCGCAGAAGTTCAGTTCTAAAAACAGTGGAAGTATCTCATGAAGAACACATGTAGTCTACTACTTATAATAACAAAGAGAGTCCTCAGGTGATACGTAAAGCAACCTAATCCCAACAGACGTTTTGCAGTGATAGATTACCTGCATTATAATTTTAGAATTTTAACACAATGGAATCATCCTAAGATTACGTTTCAGTCGTAAAAAAATCATGGATATTGGCCTTGGAGACCCCAAGATACAACTATGATAAAAAGTTCAAAATTCGGTAGTCAGAAAGCTCATGGTGATTAGTGAAGAGGTTGGTAGTCCTAAACTTTACATTATTTATCTATCCATGAAAAAAAAAGAACTTATTAATGGGAGATGGAAACCAAAAACTGATAAGGTTGTCAATAACGGGATACAATTGTTTCTGTTCACACTTTTTGATAAAGAGACATTCCTCATTTCTCCTGAAGGAATAATTTTTATGAAAGGACAGCTTTTAAAATATTCAGGATGATCTTACATATTGTTAAAATAATTCTGGATTATTGCTTAGCACATTGATGGCCGCACATGTTTTGCTAGTTTACCTCTTGAGGCCAAAGTACTTTTTTCCCCGATAACTGCCCAGAAAAAATTTACGTACAAAAATCTGGTCGAATGAAAGTTATGTCTCAGTTTTTTGTTTGGTCACATTCCACGGGCTAGGACGCTTGAAAAAAAACAGGATGTTTAAAATAGGCTTTGATCAGTCATCAGAAGATGACGACCGCAAAATCCGTTTTTAATGTTTCTGTAGAAACAATTATTGAAATTAAATATCTAAGTGAAAGTTGAGACAGGGCTCATTGATTTAATGATAGGTGAGTTTACGCAACATACCTTGATCGCAAAGCATGCCTCCCCAGCCTGGTTCACAGGTACATTCCCATGGACGTTGGCACGAGCCATGAACGCATCCAGGATATCGGTAGCATTCATCACAATTTTCGCCCCACCATCCCACTTTGCATCTGAAATCAAAATTCTTCTGATATGATTTTGCTTATGGCTAGAATACATGCAAAATATACATGACGCAGGCAATTAGTCAAATCAAGCATTTTATCAAATGTCCAGGCAGATAGTCAAATGTTGACAGTTTATCAAATGTCCAGGCAGATAGTCAAATTTTGACAGTTTACAAAATTGCGTAAATTTAAGGCGAAGAGTGCATGATTTTACAATATTTTGGGGAAAATAATTCAAATCTACGAACTCTCCTTGTCTCTTCCTCTTCAAATGCTTCTCATAAGTATATTTAAATGTTAAAATTTTAAAAATTCTGTATCTCATGATTTGCTGAAAATTTCAAGTTAAATGTTTCTCTCAGCAGCTAGAAATCATTTAAAATACTATTGTATGATGCTTTTTCTACAGAAACTTTTTTCTTACAGAAGCATTGACTTATTTTGTCCAAAATTCGGAAAAAAATACAAATTCAATCTAAGTGAGAATATTTGACTATTTGCCTAGGCATTTGAGAAAATGCCTGTTTTGACTAGTTGCCTGCAACATATATATACTAAACTACAAAAGACACAGTCTTAAGCGCCAGTGATAGGTCCTTTTTTCTTATAAAAAGGATTCAACCTTGCCAATGTAACGCAACACTTTGAAAATTTTCAAAGAGTTACCCTTTCATCATTTTCTCACTCTTTCTCGCTTTTGAAAGGCATGTGAAGTAATGTTAGACTTAGATATGCAACATGGATTGAAAAAAAAGAAAAAATGTAAGTTTAAATTAAGAAACATATGCTTCAGTGTCCTTGGAGGCTTTACTACTAAAAAAATTCAATAGGGACTTTACCCTAAGCAAGAAGGTGGTTTATTTTCTTTCTTTTTTCTCTTCTAACTTCTTTCACTCACAATCAGAGTAGTTTTAGAATTACATTAAGTGGGTTGTACTTAACCTCAGGGCACAGAGAATTTGTTAGTGAATGCTTTTCTCAGCAATAAACCTCTAATAAATTGTCTATTCTTGCGTTGATGATTGGATTTAATTACATATTGTCTCTGTGAACCTTTCTTTGTGTGTCTATTTTGTACAGACATAAAGTATGAAAGTAAATGAAAATTCATTTTTCTTTACCTGCATTCACCTGGCTTCCGACAATAGCCTCTTTCTTTGTGACAACCCTCTGCACAAATTGCTGCAAAAAGAAATTAACAGGAAAAAAAATGCTTGAATAAACAAGAAAACAAATGGAACCGTAAATACATTACAATTTGAAGAGACTTGATAATGAGGGGGAACAACCTGCATGAATCTAGGATACGCAATATTTTAGTTTCACCAAGCAAATTTTGAAGTGAAAAAAATCTAACCTGATGCACCAAATTTGAAGCAGAAAATTTGTGAAAAAATGAGCAGTGTCGATAACTTCACGATTTGGCACTCATACCATTCTTTTTGGATTAAAAAAAATTACTATTTTGAAAGTACTCACGTGTTTGGCAGAGAATTCCTGTCCAGCCTTTCTCACATTTGCACTCTAAAGGCTTTGAGCAGGCTCCGTGGGCGCAACCTGGAAGGACTTGGCATTCCTTGCATGTTTCGCCTGACCAGCCAAGACGACATCTAATGAAGGAAAAAACGCAGTTTTATTTCTGCTTGTAAAATAGCGTTAATTCCAAGGTTGCCAGATTATCTGATATATTGTAGATGTTTTGCATGGATTTAAATGGGAGTAAGTGCTGGTGGTAACAGTCAATAATTTCTTTGCAACTTACTGATGTACAAATTTCTTTATTTCAGTAGAATTTGCTGGACTCCAAACACACCGTTAGAGCAATAACAAATTTTGCGAATGGACGGAAACAGTACATTTCATCTCCCTGTGCAAAAATAATTGAGAAGCTAGCCCATCATTATTCTAAACCAAACACTGTACGTAATAGTATTTTATTTTTATTTTAACTTTTCCAAACATTGATCATGGAAATTTCAGCGATTATTAATTACAATATTTAACATTTCCTGAATTTTTCAAGTATTTTCTGGTAGCCTTGAGGATGCCGGCCACCTCCGCTCATAATGTAAAAATATACGTAAAAAATACGGAAATAAACAAGTACAGCATAAAGATTCTCCCCATCATTTTATCAACATTATTATATTCTGAACATGCATTTTGTCAATATCTCACGGACTAAGTAAATTGTGTAGAAAAGATATTACGAAATTTCCGCTGAACTCAGTCCATGCATCAAAACGATGAAAAGATGAACTTCTCATGCAGCTATGAAATTGCAAAATCTATGTTATCTTTTACTTCTTGAACAGAAGTTTCTACTCATATAGAGATCTGTCATTTTCCATCTCTATGTATGTGAAAAATATTCTATAAAAATTTAAAGTGCCCAAGTTGACCGAAGACGAGAGAAATAGGATTAGAGTTTGAAATGCTGTAGTTAAAGTACATACTTTCTAAGCTTTAGATGCATTCTAGTATTACGTCATGCCTTTAAAAGGGCAGAGGGTCTGAGTGTGCATTTCAAGTAGGAGAGGAGGGTTACTGGTTAGCATTAGGTACATGGTAGTTCACCAAGACTCTCCTTATGTCTAAAAGTGAATTTAAAAAAAAAAAAAAAAAAAAGAGGGTCGTTCACCAGCCACTGATGTCACAGACCCCCATTCACGAGCTGACCGTGATGGCGGTGTGATCATTTCTTCTTGTGATTTTGCTTTATATTGTTGTGTGTACATATCAAGTTTTTACAATAATATACGCTTTTCTATAAACATGGCGTTATACTTTATTTTCAAAACCCACCACTGGATCACTACAAAACACATTCTACACTCAAAAGTTGAATAATTTGTGACAAAAAATAAATTAGAAGCCCCTAAATTGTCGATTAGTACTTAGGGCTTCTACCCAGAACTACATGCTTCTTAAGAAAGGCCTTCCTTACAGATTATTGTGTGTAACAAAGGTCTGGATTGGTTTTGACGTTGCCTTATCAAGGAAAATCTCATTCGAAGAACAAAGAGACCTGATATCTCGCTTGCTAGTAAAAAAAGAAATTGATGGTACTGTATTTTGATTCAGATCCAAACAAATGCTAATCAAAAGCTGCTGTTCTAAGGGAGTAAACTCACCTGCATTCCCCTGGCCATTCGCAATAACCTCTCGTTGCATGACAGTCCAGACGACAGATTGCTGTTAACAAAAATTTTTTGTTCAAATTCGTCAGTCATGAGTGATACACAATGGTGTTGCGGCATGACGCATCTAAAGAATTGCAGGGATGTTCATTTCCGGGGTAAATGAACTGCAGAGGTCTTCAAACCCAAGCGGCATAGATAGCAATTCCATTGTAAAATTATTCCTTTTGTGATAAAGTGTTGAGTTGCAAATTGCATAATCATTTCGATACCACCGTTGTACTGTGCTACCTACTTGGGAAAGATTTAATGTAGCCACTGTGTAGGTACTTGAGCAATTTTTGGAGGATTCTTTCATAACATTCTCAGTTTTTTCATTACAAGAAGGAGAAAAGGAACTTCTGCGAATCACCTTAGATTGACAATCTCGTTGTAAAGTTGTGATATGTATATACTTGTATGATCAGGTATAGCGATTACTGATCAAACAGCAGTTTTTTAGTTGCAAAAGCAACCGCAAAAAGAAAAATGATGAAAGTTTTTTCGACTTGTACATTTCTTATAAATGTTTTTGAATGATTGCAAAAAATTCAATTGCATTTCGAAGAAACCACGGAAAACCCATTTTACATTACTTTAGGGTCTCTTAATCCCCTTCACCCTCTTTAATTTTTAAGAATTAAAATGACCTGACTTCACGTGTTTATTCTTTTTTCTTAGGATTTCTGAGACTGCAAATAGGTATTCGGTTGTGATAGTCGATCACTTGAAATGATAATAATAAATGTCTTGGCACTGAACTGAATAGTGAATTTTGAACATTTTTGCATATGCTTTCCTTAGAATTAAGTAAACTCCTCTAAAAAGGAGTTTTGAATCTTTAACTAAAAAGGCATCATGTGGAGCTACCGATGTAAAGGATGGAGTTGATGCATGGGAATGCATTCAATGATTTTAGACACTTCTAAAAGCCCATCAATAATTGAGGGACTATCAATAAAAGAAGTCCCACGAACTACTTACGTTCTGAACAGAAGAGTCCATCCCAACCCTCATGGCAGATGCATTCAAAGCTGTTGTTACAATAGCCATGTTGACATCCAGGCAATGCTATGCACTTGTTGCATAGCTCTCCATAAAAGCCTGCAAATTAAGAATCTAATTAGTGATGATGCAGTATGATGGTGAATTTTAGTAGGACAGTTTGGTGAGCGGGAGAGTTTCTTGTTTTCGTATTATTTTAAAAAAATAGTCTCAAAGAAGAGAAATGAATAGGTAATCAGGGTTCATAACGCTTGAAAAGTCCCTTATACTGATACTTAAATTTTTGCCCCAATTTTCAAGTTTTTAAGTAGAATCCTCGAACTTTGACGAATTGATGAGAACTGCCAGAAAGTCCTCGCAAATTACATTATCTGATCATCTTTTACAAGGCCACTTTGAAGATTGGTCTCTTTTTTTTTTTTTTGGTAGAGTAAATACGCACTCCATCATGTCAAATAGGGCTGTCTGTAACTGGATTGGTTGCTATCTCATGTATAGATAAGAGAAAAAATTAGGAAAGGTATGCAAAAAATTCCATTTTAATGCTTTTCCTAAAATTTTTCTGTACCCCTCAGAAGTATTTAGAAAACTCTACAAAATGCATGGAAAGATCTATCTTTGAAAGTCCCAGATTATATTTTTCAGAAGTACTTTACTTATTTTTCTGTCCTTGGAAGTTAAAAAGTTTACTTCCTAAAAAACTCTGTAGCCGTTATCATTCGGCTTCGGCCCCTTCAGAATGTTGACATGCCGCAGACGTAAACATTAATTATTGACTCAGTTTCGCTTCGATGACATAAAAATGGCGGTGGCTATCGCTTCTGTTGACGTAGTCTATTTATGAGATCTCATGAAATATTTCAGGAGGTTCGAGAGACAAGAAGCTGCATTTGTGAAAACTATCAACAAATCATTTCAGGAAAGCTCCACAACTCGCATCCAAAATACGGCGCGCCAAGATTTCCCGCCGAGCACCGCTCGTCAAGTGCAACAGCCAATCAGCGTTGAGCGCGGGAGAGTACGCGATTGGTGGCCTTCTCGTTGACCAGAAGGCGGGAAATATTCAAATTTTATTAAATAATTCTTGACTATTCACGAGGTTCACGCAAGCATGTAGTCGGGAGGGGGGGGGGGCTCAAGTTCCCTCGACCCCGCTAAGGGGGAATTCGGGAGGTATGGAATACTTCCCAGTTCAGAGGGGGGTGTTAGAGGGGCCTCCCACGGCAAATTTTTGAAATTTTAATTTATTTGGACGCATTCTGAGGCTTCCAAGATGCAGATTTTCCATCAATTTCTGCGGAAATATTGCGTTTCTTCCTTTACTTTCAGCCTACGATACCTTCAAATTGTTGCATTCAACGCATCTGGAGAAATTTTGAAATTTTAAATCTATTTCGACGTTCTTTAAAAGTTCAAACTTCCTCTTTTCTCGCCTGTTTTATTTTCTGTCTTCCCTTCCCTTCATTTTTTCCCTCCTTTTTTCGCTTTTGGAGGGAGCTTTAGCCCCCCAAGCCTCCCCCCCCCTCTCGACTACATGCTTGCGTGAACCTCGTGAATAGTCAAGAATTATTTAATAAAATTTGAATATTTCCCGCCTTCTGGTCAACGAGAGTGCCACCAATCGCGTAATCTCCCGCGCTCAACGCCGATTGGCTGTTGCACTTAACGAGCAGTGCTCGGCGGGAAATCTTAGCGCGCCGTATTTTGGATGCGAGTCGTGGAGCTTTCCTGAAACGATTTGTTGATAGTTTTCATAAACGCAGCTTCTTGTCTCTCGAACCTCCTGAAATATTTCATGAGATCTCATAAATAGACTACGTCAACAGAAGCGGAAGCCACCACCATTTTCATGTCATCGAAGCTAAACTGAGTCAATAAGTAATGTTTATGTCTGCGGCATGTCGACGTTCTGAGAGGGCCGAATGATAACGGTTACAGAGTTTTTTACACTTATTTATCGATTAATCTGGAGAAGTACTGTGAAGTTGCTTAATATTTTATGTTTCTTTCCAATTTTATAATCGTAGGTCAATCTCAGATCAGGTTTCAATAAGTACGAAGATTGACCGATCCTGAGAAGAAAAATGTTAATATTGGTTCTCACGGAGCTTTCGCTTCTGTTAACGTATTCTATTTGGACCACATTTTGCAATTCGGAACTATAAATTCTAGCCCGGTTTAAAAACGACGTATTCGCCATTAGTTTCCCTATGCACATAAGTGTTTTCCAGAAGAGCCAGAATTTATAGTTCCAAATTGCAAAATGCAATCCATTTATTCTATGGAAAAAGGGATGATTACCAAGTTTGCAGCGACATTCGCCGGGGCGTTTGCAATATCCCTGGAGCGGGTCGCAGCCTTTGCGACAGATTGGCACGTCGCAGACGTCCCCCGTCCAGCCGGGCAGGCACTGCACGTTCCCGTTGTCATCGCACTCGTAGTGACTCGCCGAGTTCAGACTCGCCGGAGCCTCGCACGCCTCAACAAACAAATCAAACACACCCAATTAACAATCCCATCAAAACATTATCAAGATGAAGATGGATTGCATTTAGCAAAAAGAAAGAAACAACTTAAAACGGGACTAAGGCCGCAAATAATAAAAAGAAACACATAAAATAAAATGAGAAACCCGGGACGTTTCGCAGGGATCACGCCCGCATTTTCAACCGGCAAAAACAAGAAAAAACACTTTGAGACTGACCGTTGTTATTGTGAGACTCTGTTCACACTCTGGGTGTGATCCCTGCGAAACGTCCCGGGTTTCTTATTTTATTTTATGTGTTTCTTTTTATCATTTGCGGCCTTAGTCCCGTTTTAAGGTGTTTCTTTGTTAATGTTTCGGTTAGTTGTTTTTTCTATGCAAAAAGGAACCAGGGCGATCACAGTGTTGTAAAAATGTTGCTTCCTCATAATCATCTAAAAAATCTCCGAGAGTATCGGATACTTTTGGCTTCCTACCAGAAAATGGTTCATTTTCAAAGCAAATAATTATGTAAATTTTAATACTGTACATATAATGAGTATTTTTAAAAGAAAATGAGAAATGCACAATTTTGAAAACTCTGTAATTGCGCTGGTTCCTTTTTGCTAAATGCGATCCAGATGAAGTAATTCCATGGCCCAAGTGCAAAACCACGTACCTCCATTGCTGTCTTTTAAAATTTCCGCTCCTATTTTATTTTTTCCAAGAAAAACAAGTCAACAATGCCTTTTGAGATTCATCCCCCTGGTAAAAATTGGCGATAGGAGCTGCGTTTCTAAATACCATAGGAGTTCTTATGGCCGACTAAAGAAGGCTATTGAAAATCATATATCTGGCTGTAGAAAGCGGAGAAAATCATATAGCCGGGCTATACGAAACTATAAAAAAGTATACAGTCGGGCTATAGTTCCTATTGCCGGGCTTTACACTTTATCGCCATTTGCTATGAAAGGCGATAAGAAATTGTGTAGAAATTCGTGTGCTTTGGAAATCATAAAGTTTGATACGGAACTACCTTTATATTTACAAAACACACATTATATTTTCCTTTAAAACATATTTTTTTTTTCATCAATTAAAATGATAATACCTAGTCCATACAGAGTGTGCAAACATTTCAAAATCATGGGTTGAAAAACGCTGACTCCGCGAGATTAAATATTAGAGCCTATAATACAAAGCGGAGCGGCGACGCACTGGCGCCTACAAACCTAACAGGGATACTTCACGCATTGCGCAATGCGTGAAGTATCCCTGTTAGGTTTGTAGGTGCCAATGCGCGTTTCACGCTCTCTGCCCGCCCGCCGCGCCGCAGCGTGCCACGGCGTCTGAAGCAACTATTTCACACCCAGAAGTATTGCACAGTATTATAAGAAATTGAATGATAGGCATCCTTCAAAAGTACGGAGCTTTCCTCGCAAAATAAATCAAGATACTAGGGTACAAAAAGAGAGAGGTAATCCAAAAACTAACTAAGTCTTAGTATCCGTATTTAGTAACGTTTAGCATAAACTTTATCGTCTGGCTGTTGCTAAATCGCCATCGGCTCTAAAAGGCTATAAAAAATTGTACAGCCGGCTACAGAAGTTATTGGAAATCTTACAGCCGGCTTTAGGTCTATAGTATTTTGGAACCTACATTCTACTGCCAATTTTTACCAGGGCCTGAATAATCGGTTGATAGAGGAGATAAAGCAAAGGAATTTCACGGAAAAAAATGAGATTGCTCATTTGACAATTTTGCAGTTAGAAAAAATGTCCGACATGTTTCAATGTAGATTTTAAAAGAAAAAAATGCCAATGGATCAGTTGTGCTGGTCACACAATCGTGTTTTGATGCTTTATTCTTGCAGATCAACTAAAAATAATAAGTTCTGTCCAAGTAGCAACATGCGTTGAATATTAGGTAACCGAGAAATCGCGCCTTGAAAAACTTGATTTATGACGTCATCCACTGCGACAGTACATACCATAAACCCGATTTATCAAAGGAAGATATCTTGGCTAATATTCAACGTACCTCAAAAGTTGCTGTTTGGACAGATTTTCTTATATTTAGCTAATCTACAAGAATCAAGCACCAAAACACGATTCTGTCACCAGCGCAACTGGCATATTTAACCATCCTCAAGGTTGGTGACGAAATCTGTCCAAGACGTTTCCCTGCGGGTGTTCCTCAATACAAAAAAATCCCTGATAATCCCCGGCATTTCAGGTCGCTGCACACTCCGTACCATTACTATCTACAAACAGATAGGAGCCTTTATGGATGAGCTAAAAAGAGTGATTTTTGCAAAATGAAGTCCAATGGTCGATGATTGTCAAGACAAATGCGGATAGCACCTCCGAAGAAGCTCCGAACTTAGAGATAGAACTCACTTGATGCGGGTACCGGTACTCGTGCGCTACTTGCGACCATTCTATCTACACATGGCTCAACGAGAACCACACATCTGCACATGAAAATCCTGTTCGGATACGTCGTTTCAGCGTTCTCGCATCTGTTCTGCCGGTGAGTCGACTCAGTGGCGGCGTGGCGTGCTTTGCGATATATCGATTGGTCTGCCATTTAAACCTACGGATCAGGATCGATAGACAGGGTGTTCGAAACGAACACCTTAATAATCGATTCATTATCATAGCTTCAAATGGAGAAATATCGATACTCGATCACTCACGCCTCGCTACGGAGTCGACTACGACCCAAACTCGGTCACCCACTCACCCGGTTGACGTCCTCAAGTCTGAGCACTGCCGCAGTGTCAAATGTGGGTGTCACTATCTAGGCTAGCTTAGAAGAAAGTGGTTGCTCGCGCGATTAATTTTTCATGAGCACAGGAAAGCGCCCGGATCAAATTATCATGTGCGTATTTTAGTTGCAGAACTTCACCTCGTCGAATCTCCGTGCTCAATTCCGGCATCATGGGTCAAGAATTTATGAAAATCCGAGCGCCGAAATTAGCACGACTTTCCTGGGATAAAGTTGCAATTTCCGGAGTGGCGCGTGTTGCCTATCTTCTCTGTTTTGGGCGCCGAGATTGTCCGCAATTTTCGTGGTGACGGATAATCAACAAGCTTCGAATGAGTTTACTAATTTAACAGTAAATTATTGTAAATTTAACCGTTCACGGGAACGGGAAAAGAAATCATAGTCCACAGAAGCAACCTGATAGGGGCAATTTTTCATTGCACTAAAAATCGCCTCAGTTGCGAGCTGTCTAAATTTTATGCGAATAGAGGGCGTAAAGCTGCATTGCGTGGTTACACGATACACGATAGTGTAATTTCGAACGTTTTAGCACAAAAACGCCTTAAAACGCCAAGTTAAGCTGGATTGAGGACGTTTTGAAGGTTGCAGTTTAGAAAAAATGATTTAAAATTTTAAAATTTCATTCATGTTGCCATGCTCGTGGCTGCAAATTGTCAGATTACTATTAAGTGAATAATGCAACCTTCTGCTCTTTGTTGACACAAAAATGAATAAACCAAAAGTATTTCTAAACTATTTATGAGTAAATTCAATTTCCAGGGAAATCTGTGTAAGATAAAGAAAACCGAGGTCATTTTCGGACTCAATAGACAAAAATTTATTAGCAATCATATATGTATATACCATGTGACACCTAAGGAAGTTGTTTTCCCTCACGTATCCGACACAAAACAATCAGATAAGCTTTACATGATAATACATACATGGGTGAAAGGGGGCAGTTGACCGGAGAAATCTTGATATTACACCGAAAAAAATAATATGCTGTTTTAGCATCTAGGATGTCAAAAATGTGTCTGGTGATCCCAAGATGCTGCCTTTACTGCCCCCGCAGTTAATTTTACATCCTGTGAATGCAAATTTAACTGCGCGGGCAGTAAAGGCAGCATCTTGGGATCACCAGACACATTTTTGACATCCTAGATGCTAAAACAGCATATTATTTTTTTCGGTGTAGGGTAACTGAAAAGAAAAATAGTTTCAATATCATAAGCAATTATCGACAGATTAATGTGAAAAGCTAGCCATGAAAATGCTGTACAATTTTTTCAGATACCTACAAAAAAACTTGTGTGTAACATATTTTTAGACCGTCGACCAATCGTCGAAATTACTCTAAGTATTTTAGAAATACTTTTGGTTTCACTGGGAAGAAAATAGGTGTTAATATTATACAAAAAATTACGTAGCCAAGAAAATTCTGTCAATTTTTTCAGCTATACCCAAAAAAAGAAAAGAAAGCATGAAATAATGGAGAATTCGCACACAACAATTTTATTGCTTCATCAGAGAGTGCCTAATGAGCTGAGTTCGCAGTACCTATTTTTCATACTTTTTTTCTGACATGGGAAATTGTCAAAAAATATATTTAAAAGTGAGAAAACGTGCCGCCTTATGACGTTATCTTGCGGCATTTTCCATTTAAACACATGTATTTCAGCAGATTATGTTTTTTTCTCATATTTGCTCCAATAATCGTTCAATTTAGAAAGCATAAGGATTCCTCGCACTCAGTTTTCCTAGTAGTATGAAATTAACACACTTTCAGACACTATTGAATAGAGACTATACAGGTGACTGAAATTTGATGGATTTCGTGTTCAAGTGGAAACTACTGAGTGAAATGAACACGAGGAGACCTTTGGTTCATGCATCGAACAATTATTGGAGAAGATATGACAAAATGATCTAATCTTCTAAAATACATGTGTTTAAATGGGAAATGCCGACAGATGACGTCATTAGTCTGTGTATTTTTTCACTTTTAAATCTTTTTTAGACTATCTCCCTCATCAGAAAAAAATTAGAAAAAAAGTGTAAAATCAGCTTTTTAAGCACTTCTAGATGAAGCAACAAAAAATTCGTATGTAAATTCTGCATTGGGACCCGGGCACTTTTCCTCGGGGACAGTGATATCCCCGGGTGAAAGTGTTTGGCGGGATGCGGAGCGGTACCTGCTTTTTCCACTTGGGGATGTACTTGGTCCTGGCGGGGGCGGGGGTGGCGGAGGCGGAGGTAGGGGTTGCGGCGGCGGCGGCGGCGGCGGCGGCGGGCCGGAGCCCGGAGAGGAGGAGCACGGCACTCGCACACAAGGACAGCAACACGAACTGATGCTTGGCCATAGCACACTGACCTTGCGCCCCACATCCGCGCTCCGGCCGGCCACCTAACAGTTCTTCCGCGCGCCTCGCGGGTCCCCGGCCCCGTCCCCGCTGGACCCCGGACACCCGGCGTCCGCGTCGCCGTCGGCCCCTCTCCCCCCACCCCGCACGCCGCGACGCGCCACACGCATTTACCCACGTCTAAAAGAGAAAGGATCGCCCTCCCTGAGGACCTCCGAGGACCCGATTATTGAAATTGGTAGGCAAAGCTATAGACAAAGAGGACAAAAGAGATATACTGTTGGTCCACCATTACCCCACTCGGTCTATTACAACCACCCGTTTCAACTGACAGGATCGCCCTCCCCGAGGACCTCCAAGGACCCGATTATTGAAATTGGTTAGGCAAAGCTATAGACAAAGAGGACAAAAGAAATGTACTGTTGGTCCACCATTACCCCACTCGGTCTAAAACAACCACCCGTTCCAACTGGCAGGATCGCTCCATTATCCAGCCGTCTTCTTTGTCTATAGCTTTGTCTATCAATATCAATAATCCGCCTGCCACGGCGATTCAGCAAAGTTGGACACACTGCTTCCCCTCCTTTCAAGTGTATGGAGGGATCCTTTCCTGCCGTGCTAAGGAAGAACGCCGTATGAACATTCGGGAGTTGCCAAATTTCTCAGAGTGAAACTTGTATTTTTGAAGAAAGTTATGCGTATTTTGCCTCAAAATTTTCCGATGAGATTAAATCGGGAGCAATATTGTCTGAAAAACTGGAAGAAAAATATTCAGGATTTTCCCAGTTTCGTGGGTGATTATAGGAAATATGGCAACGCCTGAAGGCTCATACGGCGTTCTTCCTTAGCACGGCAGTATTGGTGGAGGCGGGCGGTTGCAATGGACAAAGGAGATACGTAACATACTAAGTAGCGGCAACCTACGAGGGACCCGATGGTTAGTCCATCATTTTCTCTCTTAATCGATAGGAACCACCCCTTTCAACCAATAGGATAGCTCGATACTCCCTATGTCTTCTTTGTCTATCGCCTTGTCTATCAATTTCAATATAATTGGCCCGCTGGACGCAAATCCACGGAAATTCTCCCCGCAAAACAGTAAGAAAAGAAAGGGCGCATTGCTTTGCGCCTACGCCTTGGTAGCAATAATTTTTCGAAAAAAATCCCTTTTAAACGTGTCAATCTTAAAAAGACAACTTTTAAAACTAAAAATAGTAAAAATGTTCATGTCAGGAAATCCCTTTCAGGTGTTTTTAAAGTAAAATTTGAGTAAAGGAAGTGTCTAAAATTTCCCAAAATATCAACTGCGGGTTTTCAACACTAGAAGTGCTTGAAAAAAATTCAAAGAACTTTTAAAAAGTACCTAGTCATATTTTTCAAAAAGACGACATGGGCCGCGGCCCATGGCGGCAAATTTATGGGGCGGGAAATTTTGCAATCTTTTTAAATGTAGGTAAAGAAAATCAGATGCAGAAAAAAAAATTACAAACGAGAAAAGGCGACAATATCTCTCATTTTCTGAGGGTATGGTAATTTTTAATTTTGTAGTCTCTCGGTGATACAAGAGACAGCGCCTTTAATTAGTCGAGTTAAGAGAGAAACCAAACACGCAATTTGACATGGAGCGGCGCGGCGCAGAGAGCAATGATGACGAGAACTTGAGATGAAAAGGAGAAGCTCTCAGCGCGACGGTCGGCATGTAACACATAATAGCACCTACAAGACTGCATGAATACTTCACGCATTGCGTCAAACACAGTGCTGTCAGCAGCGGTCGACGTGAAACGCACAGCGCCTACAAGACTGCATGAATACTTCACGCATTGCGTCAAAAACAGTGCGGTCAGCGTGAAACGCATAGCACCTACTAGACTTCATGAATACTTCACGCATTCCGTCAAACACAGTGCGTTCAGCAGCGGTCGACGTGAAACGCATAGCGCTTACAAGACTGCATGAATACTTCACGCATTGCGCCAAACACAGTGCGGCCAGCGCGGCGCGGCGGCAGAAGTTAAAATCATTACACCACATTTATGTTTGTTCTTCCATAATTTTTACGTTCATTTCTCACAAATAGAAGGCCTTGTTCACACGGAGATAGGTTTACGGAACTTAACTTTCGTCAAAGTTCCGTGAACTTCTGCTTGTAGTGTTGATAGGGCTTTTGCAAAAAAATTGTGCAACACGAGTAAACGCGTCTTATGCACTCCTCCCCCTCCGGCACGTTCTCTTGATGGTTTTTATTGGCGTTTCAAAACCAATGAGAAGGGGGCGGCAAGTAGGTGAATCCGGCCCAGTTCACGAAAAAAATTATTCGAAGCATCCGCGTTACTCAATAAGCTTCATAAAAAAAATTTCTCATGCATCCGCATTACTCACTAATCCACGCTGCTTGCTGGTTGGCCTTTGCGGCCACGCTTGGAAGTATCTTTGCCCAATGAAGGCGTTTCTCATCTTTCTACCGTGGCCCATAGTTGACGGGTCATGAGCTTCGAATACCTATGTTGTGATGGACACCTAGGGCCGTAACATACGAGAATATGATCGATCGTCGCCCTTGGGTCCAAGTTCAAAATCCAACTTTTCTAACTGCTCAGCCCAAAATAGCTGAAATAAATCCATGTCTTCCGCGGTCCGACCTCAGATTTTGACCTGGGCCCGAACGTGCCGGGTTATGAGCTTTGAGTATGTTGTGAGGGATGACAAGAGAAGTAACATACGAGATTATGATCAACTATCGCCTTTGAGCCAAGGTCAAAATCTGAGGTAGAACCGTGGAAAACATGGATTTTCAGCTATTTTGGGCTGAAAAGTTAGAAAAGTTCGATTTTGAACTTGGGCCCAAAGACGACGGTTGATTATATTCTTGTATGCTACATCTCTAGGTATCTTTCCCGACATATTCGAAGCTCATGACTCATGGCCCAAGTCGAAAGCTGAGGTAGAACCGCGAAAAACGCGGATTTTCAGCTTTTTGGGGCTCCAGAGCTATGCTTAGGCTGGGTGGCAACATTCGAATGTACATAGGGCGTGTTTCCTTGGCGTGGCAGTAAAGTTCTCTCTCCGAGAGCTGNGGGGGGGGGGGGGGGGGTTGGACAGACGAGTATAGTGAGGCACGTCCCATTGGTCTAACATGACGAGAATCATCGCGATCCGAAGAACCATCGTTGAGTCATTTCCGTCTAAAGCTCGTCACTGCGTTTAAAAACAGCGTCGCACAATGGTGCGAGTCAATGGCAGATGTTGGAAATCATGTGGAAGCTTCAAAGTCTTGCATGTTTGTTAATACGAACCGGAAATGCTTAAAAGTGGTTCCAGTCGTTATCTCGTGATATTTCTTTCATGTAGCACATCCTAAAATTTCAAAAGTGAAAGCTTAAAGATGGAAATGAGTGAAATATTTCTAGTCTGAGCTTTGCCATTGAGTCACTCCACTGCGCGCCGATGGATTCCTGCTGGGGAAGATTTCATCGGTGCCGGCAACTCAAGCGAATGAGATCGTGTCATCGAGGCTTTGGCTAGACTGCCGTGCTAAGGAGGAACGGCGTATGAACATTCGAGAGTTGCCGAATTTCCCCGGATAAAACATGTATTTTTGACGAAATTTAAGCATATTTTTTTTGGAAATTTTCAGGTATTTTAGATTAATTCGCGGATTGCGAACAAAATAGTCTGAAAAATTGGAAGAGAAATATTTACAGTTTCTCCGATGAACTCGTATTTTATCAGAGGAAATTTGGCAGCGCCTGGAGGTTCTTACGGCGTTCTTCCGGAGCACGGCAGTAGAACCATTGCACCTGCGATTTCAACGCCTTATCACTTTAACGTGTGATTGATTACGAGTCTCGATCGAACGTATTTTCGCTAGAAGGAACTACGTTGCACGCAAACCCCTATGCAAATGGTTCCCTTTACCGTAAACACGTTCACATCGAGCTGATGCAATTTAAGTCTTCCTAGATGCCATCTCGAAGATGTGCAACCGATGGGGTTTTTGCATCAAGTGAGGATTTCCGATTTGTCATACTGTCGATTTTTAAATTGGAGAATTTGCATGCAAATTTTTTATTGCTCCTTCTGAAAGTGCTTAAAGAGCTGATCCCTGTTAAAATGGTGGGTACAAATGAGTGGAAAATCAAAGTCATATGAATAGAATTTCAACTTACATGAATAGAATTTAACTCATATGAGTAGAACTTCTCGACCCAGTTTTCGCCAACTCGTGTGACTAGAGCTTTCAATTTACTTGAGTTCAGCGTTGAATCCACCATGTCCGAAACTAGTCACCGTATCAAAAAAATCATAAGAACGAAATGTTTTTATTTTTCAATTTTACAAAATATGCCGGTGTCTCCTGGTCAGAAACAGCACTTCTGGAAAATGAAAAAAATTGAATTCATATGAGGTGAATTACTTTCCTACTCTTATGAGTAGAATTTCCTCTCATATGAGAAGGATTTCTACTCACATAAGTAGGAAGTTCTACTTATGGGAGTTGGCGGATTCTGAATAGTCTACTCGTCATTTGTAGCAGGGATTTCACAGTATTTTTTGAGAGTGTTCTCAGAGGCCTGGCACCCCGCGTATACCGCTGAATTTTCTTCATTTTGAGACTGCAGGGCTCCTTTCCCTTGGTAAAAATTGGCAGTAGAATGTGTGTTCCAAAATACCATAGACCTACAGCCGGCTGTAAGATTTCCAATAGCTTCTATAGCCGGCTACACAATTTCGTATAGCCTTTTATAGCCGATGGCGATTAAGCAACAGCCAGGCGATAAAGTGTATGCTAAACGTTACTAATTACGGATGCTAGGACTTAGTGAGTTTTTGGAATACTACTCTCTTTTTGGGCCGGAGTATCTTGATTTATTTTGCGAGGAAAGCTCCGTACTTTTGATGGATGCCTGCCATTACTAATATATTGGAGCGCCTTCAGTTTCGTATGATACTGTGCAATACCTCTGGTGTGAAATAGTTGCTTCAAACGCCGTGGCACG